TTTTTGTGGTTCACAATGTCATCTTTAAATAAATGCTAACAACTTATATTGACCAAAATCTATCACAGCACAGCATCTTAATAACTTGGAATACATATTTTTGTTAATATCACAAGATACTCCCCTGTTAAAACAGAATAATACTATAAGAACCATTTAAATCAATTAAATGAAAATGCCTTTAACTTTTAGTTGTGGGATTATGTCATGGTACACTGTATTGTGAACGCACATTTCTACCCAGAATCACCACTTCCCAAAACTGCACAGCTTGTTTACTTTAATATAGTAAACATTTCTATAGTATTCTTCATATTTTTCATGTTATTTTCTACTATTCTGTATTTATATTTCTTTATTTGTGCATTTCTTTTTCTCTTACTTTGTTTATGTTATACACCAGAGCAAATTCCTTGTATGTGAAAACCCTCCTGGCAATCAGCTGATTCTGAGTAAATATCATAACATATATTTTCAAATAATACTGCAATATTAATCATTTCTATATGATCCAGCCCTACAGGCAATTGATTAAAGGTGGTTATTAATATTACCGAGAAAATCCTGCCTTTATATTGCAGCACACATCATCTTCTATACAGGGCAGTGAAACGTTCTGTTGTAAACCGGCTTTATTGGCATTTAGTCAATGAGAATATCTTCCACCCTGAAATAGAAAATACATCGGTATGCCAGCCAGAGGACTGGTCATATTCCAAAAAAGCCTAGTATTTTCAGGGGGCTTTTATTGAGCTAATGTATTTATGTCTAAAACACCTGTGGTGGCTGTGCTTGTGCTGCGCTGGGCAGGGCAGTTTCAAGAGAAATATTGGCTGATATTTCAAAAAATTATATAATGCATAAACATATCCGCTGGTTTGTTTTGTACTCAGGAGGATGTAAAGCAGCCAAGTGAAAATAATGGCCTGGGAAAAAAAAGCGAGAGCTGTACTGACAGGTAATCTTTTAATAGAATTACTAGATATGATCTGGTGAAGACAGTCGTGGTTATAATTATCTGTTAACTGACTGGAAACTGAGTTAATATTATTAAGCCCCTGCCCTAGCTGCTGCCTAGCTGCTAACCACTTAGCAGTATAGAGTGCTGCAGGAGTGAGTCCTTAAAGCTGACAATGAGTCAGCATTTTAGCACTCCTGGTTCCCTTGTCTTGAAGTCAATGGATTTTTTGAATGGGTTAGATGGCTGGAATCAGGTTAACACAAGCTTACGAGACTTAAAGTTTTGTTTTACGACATTAAATATGTCAGTAAACACCCCACTCATGAATTTTGAAGCTTTTTTTGTGACTCAAAAAGTAGCTAAATGAAACTACAGAACGTCATCACAACAAACACGGCTTTGCAGGCTGGTAGTGGTGGCGACGTTCAAGTCATGCGACCGTAGTGTAGTTTGTTTATAGCCTAGCTTTTTACTCCTGCTGATTGTATTTCAAAATGCAAGTATTATAGACGTTTGTTTATCACAGAGCTTATTATTTGCAATAATCTAAAGTCCTGTAGGCTTTCTGACGAGGGACGAGGGAGCCCTAACTTCTGTGTCATCCTACAAAAACTCGTCGTCCATGCAGCACTATATTAATAATTCAGTATAGTCTGTTTAGCTCAATGATTCGGGAGCAGTGCAGCAATGTTGGTGGTGTCGCCCGTAGAGATATCTGCCTTCTTCGAAATACAATGGAACCAGATGACATATTGGCAACTCGACAGCAATGTCTCTTTCCAGAAGTCATGACCCGAGTACTCAAGATATTCCACAGACCTTGTTGTGAGCAGTTTTATGCAGGAACTATTTTCCTTCCACTGAACTACACCCACAAACGGTACCGCATCTAAGGTCCCAATCACAAGGAAACGTTTTGCATGTTTATTCATTTTAGTTATTTGACAGTTATTAGTATCTAGTTCCTAAAATGTTGAGGCAGAGGGTACTTGTTGTAGCTCTGGTTGAGGGCGAGAGTTTGTTGGGCACAGGGAAACGGAGATCTGGGTGGGTACATGAGACCCTAAAAAAGAGGGTGGATCACGGGGAGCACCACCAGTTGGTCCAGGAGCTTTGCATCCATGATGGCCGTTTCCAGGCATATTTTAGGATGACTCAGGGGCAGTTTGACAACCTGCTGTCTATCATTGGGCCGGATAGCTCTGGGTATCCAGCAACCGCTACCACCAGTTTCTAGTCCATTGTTTACCAACTGTAAACTTGTTGTTATGACTATGACAGAAGGCCCGTCCCCTCTCAAATCATCCGACTGGACAATGGGAATGAAAAAAGAGATGAAGTGGGGCTTCTTTCAGCTTTGAGTTGAAGTTTTTTCAACTGGTGGAGTTGAGAGTGCGCCGGCAAAAACGCCGGGCGCTCTAGTTGCACCTACCAACACTGCCTAGCTAGCTAATGTTACAGCTCAGCCAAGGAGGACACCATTAATACATGCTTCCTTCTGCACAGTGATACGGTTAGCGGGTGCAGCTTGGTAGAAAGAAAATAGTTCCTTCATAAAACTGCTCACAACAAGGTCTGTGGATTATCTTGAGTCACTGAGTCATGAAAGAGGAAAGACACATTGCTGTTGAGTTTTTAAAATGTATTTTCTAGTGCTTTGAGCACCACGAGTGGAGTGCCATCTACTTCCATTATATTAGAGAGAAGGCAGACATCTCTACGGCTGATATCTCCAACACTCTGCAGCTCACACCAAAACAATCTACACTGATAAACAACACTACAGGTAAGAGGAACAATATGTATTTTTCATTCTGAGGTGAACTGTTCCTTTAAAGTTTAAAGATATGATATATAATGCAGAGGCAGATTTTGTTACCTCTGGATAAAGCCAGGTTAGCTGTTTCCCTTCTTCATGCTACAGTAATAAGCTCACCGGCTGCAGCCTCATATTGAACACACAGATCATCTAACTCAGCAAGAAAGCAAATACAGCCAAGTGTGTGTTTCCCAAAATGTCAAACTGCCCCATTTAAGATGAACTAAGTATTAACACAGACTCAAATAAAAGTGAATATTAGTCGGACATTAAATAGTTTCCTGTCTACCCTGCCCCCTGGTGAATACTGTGTTGTTTTCATCAATCTTTCAGCAGTGTGCATTGTTTTTTTTGTCTATCCGACATCTTTACACAAGGTGAGATGTGGCTGTAGGCAAGTTTCCTCATTGCAGCTGGCAGTGATGAGAGCGAGCTGCCCAGCTACACAGCATGCTCTTTGCATTTACTGAGAAAGACATATGTATTCCTGAACTGTACACATTCCTGGCACACACTCCGATTCTGATTCACCTTGATTTTATAATACTCTCGCCGCTGGTTTTCAAAGGGAAGATTCATTTGCTCTTGTGTTGCTGTTAATTAACTAATTTAAAAAACACTGTGGTAATTTTCATTTTCTCTCTAATGTCTCATTAATAGCTATTTTTTTGAATAACAGTGACATCAGGGGAGGTATTTTTCTCAGAAATATCAGCGTGTGTAAGTGGGTGTAACTGTTTAATCCTGTTCTTGATGGCGACAGTGACTCTAAGCTATACATGCTGCTGCTTTATGATTATCAAAATGGACTGCTTTTTTACAGCAGCTGCGAGCTTCACCCTGCTTCCATCTGTGTTACCCTTTGATTTTACTCTGCAAACTCTGGCTCGGAAAACACACGCCAGCGCCCAGAAATCCCGCTTCCCGAGCTTCAAACAGGCCAGCAGTAAGTCAACAGGTGATATCATTGTCACATTATTTTCTGCAGTCCACGGGCAGCGCTAATGTGGCTTTGTCGGAGTAATAACAACCCTGGTAAATGAATGAATTCAATTACCGTGCTACAGATTTTTGAGCGCTACAATGGTGATACCGCTGGGCTTTATGAATATGGCACACAGTGTACTTCCATTTGGTGGATGCTTTAATGCTCTTGGACATCAGAGGCGTATAACAGCACAAAAACATAATACACTTCTACATGGTTCCCCCAGCTTCATAAACCACCGTCGTCCTTCCCCTGAGCAAACATTTAGAAGCAGCCTCTGAACTGCCAGCCTCACCCACACTACCTAGGATCGGGAATTTTTCACGGAGCAAAGTAAAATGGAAATTCACAATGACATTCAGGCTAATCCACACCCACCTTACCTCATTCTACTCGGGCTGTCTAAGAAAAGCCTGGTACACTAAATTTGCTGAAGTGAGAGGAGGCAGGATGAAAAAAATGTAATACCTTGGGTTCGGTCCTTATCGGCGCTTTGTGTGCAGCAACCAGTCACATACTGTAACGCTGCAGTTAAATGTGCGAGCTAAGGCCTGACACAAACACTGAATTTAACACATACAGTAGTTTACACAGCCGATTTACAAAGAGGTGCATTAATTACAACCATGCTCAAAAACTTGAGGGGTTCGGCTTTCTCCAGTTTAGCTCCTGATTTATTAAGACCACTTATGCAAATTGAGTCAATTGCAATTTTCCAATTAGAATACCTGAGGTGCAACCGAAGTCCCACGTGCCGCAGCAGAGCTCTCAGAACAACAGACGATGCAGATGACGGAGGAAACTGCAGCTGTGCCAGAGGCCAGGAGATCAGGGGCTGCCAGAAGTTTCAGGAGCGGGTGCAGCTTCATCCAAGATTTCGGCTTGTTTTTGTTTAGTTCATCAAGCTGTGATAATGTAATGTGTCTTGGCAATCTATTAGTTCTTTTAATCTCATCGTCTGACATTTGAAATAAACATACTCTGTATAATTATGCACATTTTCGTTTAGTAAATCAACGGGGGTGATCCAATTCAATAATCTCCCATTTTTCACCCTGCCACTGTCACTCAACAAAATACATGTTATTTGGCCTAAATCTGCTAAAAGCTTCATGCCAGGTATCTGACTCATTTACACACCAGCGGGTTAGCAGATCAGGATCATGTTTTTTTCAAGCAGCCACCTGCACCGAAGCTCCCCTCAATCATTCAGAGAAAACAGTTGCACCAACCTTCACCAGGCCGGTGAGGTGCTCCAGCACGCCCTCCATAGGAAGCTGTAGGAGGTGGTTGTTTCTCAGATTGAGTCGAGCTAGATTAACTCCAGAGAACACGCCGAGGGGGAGGCTCCGAAGCAGGTTGGCGTTTAGGAACAACAGCTGGAGGGATGGCATGGAGTCAAAGGTCCCTGGATCGACCTCGCGGATCTCGTTGTACTCAAAATAAAGGTACCTAAGAAGGATAAATGGGGAGTGGTTATGATAAAGACATACTGTGAAGGATTTTCCTAAACAATTAATAGTTTCATACAGAAATAATCATCCTCAATCATCAATAATGACCCACTAGAAATGTTTGGCAGTGTATTTTCTGTGGAGACTCTGTCCTTTGCCCATTTTTTCTTATTCTATTTTTATTTTCTATGTTTAGGACTTTAATTTACAGAGGACGAAAAATGACTTAAGTATCAATAAATTGATTAAAAAATAAACAAATACGGAACTAAATAAATAAAATAATACAGGAAAAAAAATAAATATGAAAATAAAAAATACTGAGGTAAACAAATATGGAACTAAATAAATAAAATAATTCAGGAATAAAGAAATAATTATGAAAAAATAAATAAATACTGAAATAAACAAATACAGAACTAAAAAATAAAATAGTACAGAAATAAATAAAAAAATAAATATATAAATAAATAAATATTGAATTAAAAAATATGGAACAAAATACAGGAAAAAAAGAAATACATATGAAAATAAATAAATACTTAAAAAGCAAATATGGAACTAAATAAATGAAATAATACAGGAATAAATAAATAAATATATAAATAAATAAATATTGAAATAAAACATATGGAACAAAATAAATTAATACAAGGATAAAAAAAAATATAAAAAAATTAAATACTGGAATAAACAAAAATAATAAATAAAAGTTGATAATTAAACAGGACATAAATAAATATCTTTATTGACGTAAAATGAAAGTATTGGGAAAATTGTGAAAAAACTAGCAATGTTTATGACTGATATTGTTTGAGAGGTATATTGGTAAAGAGTTGGTTTCAATTTTGGTTTTGATTTTTCAATATTTGTTATGAGGGGGTTAGAAATCACAGGACTCACTGATGAATTGGCAGAATTGTGCATTTTTGTTGTTCGGTTTGTATTTTGTGAGTCAATGAAAAGGAAAAAATAAATATCTCTAATTTATTTCTACACTTTTTATGACGATATGAATTTATTTTTGCAATTCTTTGCCTGTATGTTAATGCAGTAAGAGGTCCTAACCTCTGCATTTATTTCTCTATGCATTTATGTATTATTTACATCTTTTTTTAGCATTAATTTAGTTAATTATTTCCATAATTATTTATTAATTTCTGTAAATATTTCTACATTTATTTATTTATTTATGATAGTTATGTCATTTTTTGCCCTCCATATTTATGGGTGTGTATCTCCACAGCACTCAGGTGAGATTGGGGCTTTATTAAAAATACAAATATAGCGAGGTCTTTTACTTCCATGTTTACAGCTACCTACAATCGTGCACAGTGTACCTTTAAAGGAAGCTGCACTTCCCTACTCAGTGATATCTGACAGTGAAGACACATGAAATATAAAAAACATCAAACATTCTTTGTCTCAACTTTGTCTCAATAAGTTTTTCTTGATTAGAGCACAGTTTGAATTTCTCACGTTTCAATCGATTTATCTTGAAGCATAATTTACATCCCCTGCACCCCGGCATGATAATAACATGAATGAATATTTATGTAAGGTAGTCATAACAGAAATTTGATTTAATCTGTGCTTTTCACAGCTGATTAGCTGATCACTGTCAAATGATATTGTGTCATTTTGCACTGATGAGTTCTTACACTCGCCTTGGCATGCCTGATCATCGTGTCAGATTTAAGACACTTTGAATTTTTATGTTTTCTTTTTCAATAACAGAAATTAATTTGAATTTAGGGGGGAATTAAGTATGACTGTAGACCTCTCCCTGCATGCTAGCGATTCAATATAGTTCCATCGCTGCAATAAGTAATAGATCTGGTTTAAATTACTTACTGCTCACTTGCCCTGGAGTCACTAACAAAGGCTAACGAGAGGTTAAGAGGAAGACTTTTTGAATGTCCTGAGAGGATCTTTATTATTGATTAATAGTCAAATTAATGGCTCCCGTAGATGTTCTGAACCTTATCTTTAAATATAGAGCCAGTGGAGCTGAGAGGCTGGATGATGTTCTGCATACGAAGGTCTTACGGCACGAACCTTCTCAGTCTTTACACAGCAGTGGATGAAAGTTGACTTGTTGTCTTATTCAAACACGGCCATGTTTAGCTCGCTGACTAAATACAATTATTGACTGTAGATATTTGCCGTATACATTATTTGCAGAGGAATTATCTTTGTAAGCTTAATCTGACAACGATACTTATGCATCACTCTGACGACTCCTTTTCATAATAAGCCCCCTTTATTCCAAAAGGCAAATTCTTGGCACCATCCAGACGTCTCACTGCCTTATTAACACCTCTGTATGCGAACACAAAAAAAACATTAATTTTCACGTTGTCACTCATACACAGGCTCACACCTCAAGTGAAGCATGCCATCAGGCAGCGTGACTAACAAATGACACTCCTGGAAGAGAATGGGCACCTATTCATTTCAATCAAATTCCAGCATAATGGTAATCAAAATGTTCTGCTGTGCGCTATGCCAGTATTACAGTGAAATTAATTTCCACATACTTATTTAAAAATGTCTAAATACCTAAGCTGACATGTGGTTTCAGTTTATGAATTTGTTTGAAGTGCAGTTTAGGCTTGAAACTGCTGGGAGCTATCCAAAAAAAAAACAACAAGAAAAAAAGCTACCTCAGATTCTGCAGCCCCAGGAACATGTGGGGACTGAGCCTCTCCAGGTTGTTCCCGTTCAGGTAGAGGCTCCTCAGGCTCGAGAGGCTGGAGAAGGCACCCTCCTGGAGGTACGAGATGCGGTTGTTCCCCAGGTGAAGCAGGTCGAGGCTGGAGAAATTCCAGAAGTCTGCGCGGTAGATCCTCTGGATTAGGTTTCCGCTCAGGTACAGCTTGCGGCCGTTGAGAGGCCGAGGTGTGAGCTGGGACACATTGAGGAAACCGTTCTCTTTGCAGTTGACGGTCAGGCCCAGGTCTGTGATGTGCAGGTTGCAAGTGCAGCCCAGGGGACAAATGATGGGGATGGGGGGTCGCGTTTGATAGCCGGCCACGGGGGGATTCTGGTTGGGCATCAGGCTGCGGGATGTGGGGGATGTTCTGGAGGGTCGAGGCCTTTTAGTCGGCCTCGGCTGCCTCTCTCTGTCTCTGCGCTCTGCTGAGGAAGATGACGATGAAGTGGAGGAGGTATGGGTGTTCTGGCGGGAGCCGTGGACCATGGAGGAGGGTTTAGTCGGCCTGACTCGCCCAGGGTGGGAGTTGGGTTTAGAGTTTGGGGGCAAGTGTTGGGGCTGTGATCCTGCTGCTGCACCTCCCCCCTCTGCTTGCAGCTCTTTATCCGGGAGGTCAGCGCACAGCTCCTTGCGTGGTATCTCCCTCAAGTCCTTGCCATGAAGGTGGAAGGGATACTCGCAGGTAACGTCCCCGACTACCGCCGTGTAAGGGATCTGACCCAGCCACTGCTGTAGCTGCACTGCCTCGCAGCCACAGTTCCAGGGATTCTCCTCCAGCTGTAGCTCCATTAGGGAACGACCAACGTACTCCAGCGTCCCAGCATATGCCAGGCTCTTCAGACGGTTTCCCCGCAGGTCCAGATGAGTCAGAGACACAGATCTGGAACAGGAGAGAGGAGGGGGGGGGGGGGGGGGGGGGGGGGGGGGGGGGGGGGGGGGGGGATAGTTAGCTAGGTTAGATGAAAGGACAATCTGATAGTAAGTGAAAATAAAGGTTCACACATTCCATTGCTGAGAAATCTGCTTTTTATCTGATGATTAATCCGTCTTTTATGATATGAAATAGTACGCCACGGAAACATTAATTCGACAACAGTACAGACTGGCTAATTGTGTCTGACACTGATATTTCTACAGATCCGTCCCGGCATAATTTAAAAGCTTTGCAGAGGAATAATCAGAATCTAACCTGAACAGATGAGCAGGCAAAACGGGGATCAGGTTGTCGTTGAGGATGAGAACCCGGAGCTTGTAGAGGAACCTCAGAGCGCCGCTGTCGATTCGTTTGATCACGTTGTAGTCGGCCTGCAGGTAAAAAGAGAAAATGTGATGAACGTGTAATTGCTGCAATTGAAAAAAAAAAGAAAAAAAAGAAATCGACTGAATGGAGCAGGAAAAAGCTGAGGCACTCTCTATTTGAAAATGCAGAGATCTTAAGATTCTTTCAATCAAGCCACCTGCTAGCCGTGCTGTCACGTCTATCTATTGTAATCTCGGGCACATTTGTAAATAATTCCATCAAACACTGATGATCAATACGTATCATCCCCTCAGTTTTCACCTGGAGGTATTCCAGAGCCTCTAACCCGGAGAAAGTGTCATTCCTGAAGACCTCCAGCTTGTTCTCGTGGAGGTACAGGCGCCTCAGTTTGGCCAACCCATTGAAAGCTCCCACTCTGATGTCCTGGAGTGCATTGTTGCCAAGGTTTATCGACACTGCGTTGCCAAGGTGCTGGAACCCGTTGCTATAGAGACGCCTCAGAGAGTTCCTCTGGAGGTTGAGTTTGAAAGGGCGGACCCACGACTGTGACACCTGAATGATTAATTACAGGTCTGATTAGTTATCTTATTAATTACATGAATTGAACAGTTAGAAACACCCGTGAGCCACGTTACAGGCAGGATATTAGACTTGGTGATACGGTATGTTAATGAGATAAACGACACTGCAGCTCCACGTGCACGGCCAGACAAATGAGCAGTGGTGATGTACCTGGCTGACATTAGTGAAGCTCCGCCCATCGCAGTGCACGTGCAGCACGCCTTCTTTGACCTCGCAGGTGCACGGCTCGAAGCACGGCTCGTCCACTTCCTCCTCGGAGTTGTCCACTAGAGGGGTGTGTGTGGAGGTGGGGGTGGGGGTGGGGGTGTGTGATGCCCGGGATAGACACACACACCCCAGGGCCACTGCCAGAGTGACCCACTGCATCCTCCTGCTTCTCCCTCTCAGCTTAGCGGCCTGGGGCTACGGCCCTGCATCGGCCCTTCACCGCACTGCATGGAGATGCACGGTGCATACGGTACATGCATACATTCACACACACACACACACACACACACACACACACACACAGACACACACACACACACACGATTAAAAGAGGGCAAACAGCCAGGGAGGCAGCAGCAAAAGTCAGTTCAGGATGAATCAGATTGATGATACATCACAAGCATACTAAAGCAGTCAGAAAATAAAAGTTAAATCACACGGACCAGAGCGCCATGGGGAAAGATTTACATTACATTGGAATAATGATGTATAGGGCAACTGGAGGCCACAGTGTGCAGTGATATGAGCATGGTAAACATATGTAAGATGTATTCAGCACAGGAGAGCAATGCTTTGGATTTACAGGGCTCCCAAAAGCAGGAAATATTGATTTAAAACAACCTGCTGAACAAGCTCTCGGCTGCTACAACACCGCTTTTGAATTAAAAATTCAAATACTGACATTGAAAATGCAAAACAAAGGCAAACACGTGGGCAAGTTCACCTGTGAATCACATTTTATCATTGTCAGAGTGGCTTTTTGGACAAGTAGGGATGGGGAAACAAAAAAAAAAAAAATTAAAAAAAAAGCTTGTGATGAATATATTCATCTGTGCTCTCAAATGCCCGGTGAAGCTAAAATGTCACGCATGTGTTGTTTTAATGTATGCAATATGAATATGGGCGAATGCAAATCAGATTCATAAGGCTTCTGTCTAATGAACTGCTCCATTTAATAAGATGAATGGCAATCAGAGAACAGAAGGATGAGGCACGAAAAACCCCATATTATCAATCAGCGGAGTATGTTAGGTTATCAACAGCCATCGAGTCCCGTCATAATCATCATTGTGGTAATGACAGTGGAGTGAAAGCGTCGCTGCGAATCCAAACTCTTCAGAAATTTTCAAAAGGGCTGGTGTGACGGCAGCGCGGTGACAGGCAGGAACATGAACTGATGGTGATAGTGATGATGGCACTGCTATAACACCAGAATGGGAGTTGCAGAAGAAGTCCTTGAAACAAAAAAAAACAAAACAAAACAACAAACAAAAGAAGATGTGAGGCTCGCATGGGGGGATATTTCCTCTCAAGTCTTAATGAGATCTAAATTGGATAAAGCATCTCGATCTGCTCATACAGTGTTGAACACTGCCATGCGAAATGCAATAATGATCATGGTATGGTAGCTGTAATCATACAGCAATAATCTAGCATCAGCGAGTTAGACAAGGAGGCAGCAGTGAAAACATCACCGCCCGGGAGAGGAAGAGCAATCACAGAGATGATTATGACGGGGGGGGAAAGGATGAAGGGAGAGGTGGAAATGAGAAGGAGTGGGAGGAGGAGGAGTTAAAATGGGAGCAAGGTGAAGGAATGGAGTAAAAAAGGAGAGACAGACAGATAAAGGAAGAGTAATGGGCAGAGAGTAGGTGCAAAGGAAGAGGAAACGGGCGAGGTGGGAGTGGGATTGCATAAGCAGTAGGAAGTCAGTCAAGGCTGCCACTCAGGATGAGAGCTCACAGTGAAACAGCTGAAATCTGATATTGATTACATCAAAGCCCTCCTCTCGCCCTGCACACAATGTACGCCTGCCTCGCAGAGAGAGAAGCAGCAGCCGGAGCCAAGTTACATGTGTGTGTGTGTGAGTGTGTGCTGAAAACAATGTGAGAAAGGTCAAACCATATCCAAAAAAAAAAAGAAGAAAAATAAAGTGTGCTTTCAGAGCCTGCCAAGTACAGAAACAGGTAGACACGTGTAGATGAGTGTGTGTGCTTTCATAACAAACCAATGCTGCCATACTTGTTGGACAACCCTGCAACCGAAAAGCACAAGAAGAAGAAGAAGAAGAAGAAGAAGAAGAAGGAGTGAAAAACGCCCCGGTAAAGATGAGGCCATTTCTCAAAGTGTTCACACAAGAAAACACAGGGCAATCTAGGCCGACGTGCTCAATAGTGTTTGACAAATTGGAATACGATACAGAACGCAACCCATTCACAGTCCCAGCAGGGCTTTGCATTCGTCAAACAAAATGCATTGTTTATTGCTGGGCCCGAAGCCCCCTATATGGAGGGGATCAATACAGAGTCCAGATAGACCACTGGGATCCCTCCTGTTAGATTCTGCTTTGGTGGATGGCCATCTCTGCTTAATAAGAAGCAACACAGTCAACACTCAAGCCTCTTTCTTTAATCAGCCGAGTGGACTAGTCAGCAGTCGGCATAGCTCTGCATCATTATGGGAACAAGGAAGCAAAAGGACTTGTGTGTTGAGTGCTGACAGCACAGCATAAATTAACAAACTGTCCATCTGAAAACAGGCCTGACACAGGTGTGGCATCCCTCCCTGTCTTTCTTGAGTCTCTCTGAGTTCTTCCCTCTATCCTCCTCTCCTCTCTCCTCTAGACCTGCACACTGACGCAAGCGAACCAGAGATGACGGTCACTGCTTATTCCTCAGCATATTATTCATGTCACATAATTCCAGTGTCTACCTCGCCGTCCTCTCTGTCCGTCAGAAAACACAGAGCCCTGGCTTTTACATGGGCCCCTGCTCTCCCCAGCACAGACCCGCACTATCAGGCGAGCAGCAGCATCACAGATCAAATGCATGGGGGGCTATCAGCCTGGATAGCCCACAGCCCCTCCAAGAAAATCAATTAGCCCCCCCCCCCTCCCTCTTTAACATTAACCACACACAAATTGTAATAGTTAGCAGAATTAAAGCATGACCAATTAAACAGCCTAGTCATTAACAGACCCTATTAAGACATTTACCAGGCTATGTATGAAAATCCTTGGCAGAGTAACGCAATCCAATTGCATTCCCCATTGTCTGTCTCTCCCCACCAGCCTCTCTGATCCACACAGCGACGCTTAGCAGAGCAGGGATGCGGGTAATACTCACTCAGTCCGCCGCCAAAGAATTAGGGAACGACCGAGAAAACACTTTAGAGGCTGACTGTCGACATGTCGTTCACATTCAGCCGCACTCTTCTCCCTCTCTCCTCTCCTGTAGCGGCACAGGCGGATGGGGAGGGAGGGAGGGAGGGATGGAGAGGAGAGGAGAGGAGAGGGGGGGGAGGACCAGAGCAAGAGGAGAGGAGAGGGGGGGGGGGACGTGATAAGACTGCAATGAGGTGGAGGATAAAAACCGGGAGAGAGAGAGAGAGAGAGAGAGAGAGAGAAAGAGAGAAAAAACCCGATTGGCTTTAGGATGCAGGTCCGCTTCTCCACAGTGCAGCCCGTGGGAGCTGCGGCACTGGACCGCTGCTGGACAGGCGTGCAATGCGCGGAGTTGTAGCCTGCGCGGTGATGGAGAATCCTCTCTTCATCTCAACACACAACTGGGTAATTCATAGAGGAGAAACAGGGGGTGCTGCTGGTGGTGGTGGTGGAGAAGGGGGGGGGGGGGGGGGGGGGGGGGGGGGGGGGGGGGGGGGGGGGGGGGGGGGGGGGGGGGCGGAGGTGCCGGAATTAATCATGCAATAAGGCGGCGCGCAACTGCTAGTTTTGTGTATAGGGAAGGCGTGAAGCGCGCGGGGTGGGTTTCCTCCAGTTCACCTCCTCGTCATAAACAGATTACAGAAGACACAACAGAGTCACAGACAATGGGGGCCCCCATAAACTTTCTCCTCACGTTGCCCGCGTGTGCAGTCTGGTAAAAATACCCCGACTGTTCAGCTATACCGACAATAATTTATAATCTCATTAGTTTATTCATCTCTCCTCTTGCCCTTAAGCGCCGACGGATTTCGTGAAACCGGTGTGTGTTACCATGGCGACTCGTGCCAGCTGGCTCCGTCGCGCACTCACTCTTGCTTGCACGCACGCACGCGAGCATCAGTCAGGATTGGAAAAGAAGAAGAAGAAAAAAAAAAAACTGTGGTGACTTTTTATGAGGGAGATTACAGGGAGGGCCCGGGCCTACATCTAAACACCTGTCCCGCCAAATGGAGGCGGTGGGCGCAACAGATGCCGCGGAGATTGAGAGCGATGGAGCCCCCACCTCCTCTCCTCCGCCACCTTCCTCCTGTAGCTTCCTACCACATCCTGATGGGTGGCTGCTTGCTCCATCAATACTGCCTCTAAGTAGCAGGTATGGACCCCCCCCACCCCCACCCCGCCTCCCCTCCTTCCCCAAACACCTTTGGAAGTGCGCAGGGCTTCCATCAAGGACACCGTGGTGCCCCGGCGTGGAAAACAAGCATTCAAAAGCGTTCAAATATCAGTCAGCCGGTTTCATGGCTATAGGAAAAGATTTAATAACAACATGTCTTCCACATTACTGAGCTGAAAGTTCAATTTTCAGTTCAATTTCACATTGATTTCAGTGTGCATTAAGGTGAATCACCTTGAGGAAATGGAGAAGGTGCATCTCTGCCTCACACACTCTCCTCCCCTCCTCTGCTGTAGGGAGAGGCATGGGGAGGAGAGAGCTCTCCCTGGAGATCCCTATCTGAAACAGTAACAGAGACGGTTCCAGTAATATCAGGAAGATGTAGATGATGGTTATAGATTTCAGGGGCTCTCAGGTGCATTAGGCTGTATTACAGCTTCCCCACAAGGCTACTTAACGCTGGCTCGCAATGGAAACAGGCCGGCAGAGGCAGAGGCCCATACATGCACATGGTGGAGACTGCTCACAGACGCACATTTAAGTCACTTTTAACATGCAGGGGGTGCAGCTGTATATAAATAAGGCCCGGACACTGAAATATCATCCCCGGCTCTGTGATTGGTGATGCCAGATCTGTGGCCGGGGTAATGTGATCCCAGACCTGAGGCTATATCCTCTACCTCTGTGAGTGTAACGACGCCCGTGATGGAGAATCTGGGAGAAAAACACTCGCTTTGCCTCACTGTGGTGTTGTCGTTGAACCGTGGAGGCTCCCTAAATTAAGAAAACAAACGGAGAGGAACTGAGAGAAGATGGTTATCAGGCACCATCAGATACCTGCGCGTCTGTTCTCCAGGGGCAGGAGCCGCTCTGAGCACATAAAGCACTTTTTTGGGAGCGTTGACGGCGCCTCTAAAGTAGGGGATCTATTTATACTGGCCTAGTGCTGTCTGTGGAGCTGTCCAGTGCTAAAATGGATGGGGATTCATGCTGTTTTCACTTCAGCCACTTCTCCCTTTCTTCCTCCTCCGCTTTTCTCCTTCTCCAAAGGCCCTTTTTCTGTTCTCTCATCTGAATTATTTCTGTCAGATCATACTTAGATTCCTTCCCCTTTCTTCCCCTCTCCCTCTTTACTTCCTTACTTTGATTCTCCTGTGGGCTCTTGTCAATTCTGGTTTACATGCCATTCTCTCTTTGATTTCCTCCCTTTTGTTTCCTTCCCCCTGCTCATTCTTTCTTCTCTTCCACCGTAGACACATTGCAGGAAGTGGTCATCCCCCCCTTTTTTTTTCCTGCAGCGCTCTCTCTCCAATTATGCTTTTGTTCCTCCAGATATCCACCGGGACTGGCTTGCATGCGCGATTGCACACACACTCCAGACTCAAGCAGACACAAGAATGAGAACGTGGCTCACTCCTCTCCCCTGCCGATCCATGGGTCAGAAAATCTCCTTAAAGCTACATGTTGTTCACATACTGTTGCGCTGTCCCTTAACACATGTTCTTTTTTTGTGTGTGTGTGGGGGCCCCTAGTTTCTAGTTACTCGGTGAGATGAGGCAATCAAAGAGGCAAGCAAGGGCATCCTGCATGCTGTGGGAAAGAGTAGAAAGCAAGTGGAAGAGAGCAGGGGAAAAAAGGGAAAATAACAGGCCAGTTGTGGGAGAGAGTGAAAGGGAGACAATGAGCAGTGGGAATTTGGGGGTTTGTGAAGGCTGGCTGAGATGTGTGGTGAAGGCAGAGGGGCCAACAGATAGAGGGGCGAGATATGGGGGAGGATGGCCAGGAGGGCAGGTGGTTCTGTCATTAGCTCCAGATTAAAGCAGAGGGCAACTCTAGAGGACTCACCTCTGATTCACACAGTAGTACTGCAGGCAAGGACAAGCCTCCTGGGAGACATGAAACACACACACACATGAGCACACACAGCAGTGATTCACAGGATTACCCAAAGGCTCATGAACACACACAAACACACACACTCTTATAGGCATATAACACCCCCTCCTCATTTAGCATAACTACACACTAGATACACCGTGACTCACGAGAACATGCCGACTCCCACACACATGCCACATACAGAGAGAGCCATGCAACACACATCCACGCCGTTGAGCTAATTAATCAAATCTCCTGTTTTAATTAGGGACTCGAATCAGTTGCTGAGGGAACCTTGCCCCCTTTGGAATCTTAAGGTAAAGACTGCCTCCGATGTCTCTCCAGGAAGCTGACCGAGGGGGACAAATTCATAATACCTACAATGATTCAGCTGGCTGCGTTCTACATTGCGTTTTCACACAGACACATTTTTCTGGGGAGGCCCGAGGTGCCCGATCTGAACTTCAATTTGGGCTCAGTCGAAGCGAGGGGGCAAGCACAAAAGTGGGGGGAGAAAAATGTGGAATTATGGCGGCTGGCGTCGCAGCTAATACAATGTACCTCACCATGAAAAGGCCATGCGTGTTGGCATTAAAGGGGAGGCCGGCGGTTTGCAGGGGCCTGTCCAATCGATCCCTAACACAAGCCTGCCATTCTGCTCTGAAAGTTTTTCACATGGAGAGGCATGTAAAGGCACTTTCACACAGCTCTAATAGGCTGCTTATCTCCGCTATTACCGCAGCCTTGCAATTTCAGCCGAGCAATGGCTCTGGACTCACACCAGGGCTGCTGCAGCTGGGTGAAGTCGGGTGATGTGGGACATCAGGTAGAATGGGACAAATAAGGTTTTACATCTTGGGCTCTTTAAATATTAGCAGACAAACAACAAATACTGTATCGCATTGTTGCTACAAATGTTATTTACATGAAACAATCATTTTAATTGGTCTGAGACGATTAGCACACCGAAAATTAAAAAGTGTGTTGTAGCTAAAACAACAAAAATAGTTGCAGGAGGTTACATTTCATTAACTGGTTGACCTATAATCAAAATTCATACCTTTTATAGCAAAGAGTTTTGAGTGAATGCTTCATGCACTGAGGTGAAATGGTACAAAAATGAAGCTAAAATGAGACATTTTTCTTTCAAGATCATTTTTATGGTCTTTGCTTTTCCTAGACAGGACAGTAATAAGCATGAAATGGGGAGCGAGAGAGGGGTTGACATGCAGCAAAGAACCACAGGTTGGACTCAAAACCATGGCAGCTGCAGCAAGGACATTGACTTTGTACACGGGACACGGGCCCTACCCACTAAGCTGCTGGGCGCTGTAAAATGGGGCAATTTTCTGAAGTAAAACCAGCTTGTTTTTAGGCCAGTAGACAACATGAGTTATTATGCTATGGTATGCCACCCTATTTATACTATAGACATTTTTATTATTTATATCACTTAAGTAATATTAAAGATGACGCAGTGGGTCTATGTCTATGTCTTACGAATTAGCTGTTTTTCCGCATTTATCATTTTCAGACTAAGACATGTGGTGCTGGTGTGGAGGAGTCCCTCTGTGCGTAGTTTGCATGTTCTCCCCATGTCAGCATGGGTTCTCTCTGGGTACTCCGGATTCCTCCCACAGTCCAAAGACATGCAGGTTAATTGGTGACTCTAAATTGCCCATAGGTGTGAATGTGAGTGTGAATGGTTGTCTGTCTCTATGTGCCAGCCCTGTGATAGTCTGGCGACCTGTCCAGGGTGTACCCTGCCTCTCACACAATGTCAGCTGGGATAGGCTCCAGCCTGCCCGCGACCCATAACAGGATAAGCAGTTACGGAAAATGAATGAATGAACCTGTGGGTTATGCCAGTATTATGTGGATTTTAATAGCGTTATTTGGGGATTTGGCCCATTTGGAATAAGTGTCCCAATTGAGGTTTTTACTGCAGTTTACAACACATGGCCTCTCGCCCGTTTACGGTTGCCTCTGTGTGTTGTCATGGATACATCGTACACAAACTAACTCGCCAACAGGTGTAGCAATGTATGCCCAAAAGAAAAGCCCACATATTGAGAAGAAGCACACTACTTCTAAACATTATAAAAGACCAGGATATCAACAGGTTCTTGGATATGCTCAAATATCGCAGCAACAACCTTTTCAAGATGGCGGCTGAAGGAATGAAAGAGGAAGGCTGTGATTGCACGGTCCAACAAGTCCACCAACAGTAGGAAACTTTGATGCATAGAAGCAAAATGACAAGCGGCTCCAGCAGTCCTGCTTTGCTGTATTTTCATGTGATAAACGCCATGGGAGTATTCGTGGAATGTTAATTTTCATAGCCATGTAAACAGCTTAGTAGGAATTTTGTCTTTTTGGAATAAGGGCAAAAAAACACTATTTTGTGCATGTGAACGTAATCAGTGTTACATGCACATACTGTATGTCCATTGTGAACAATATGGCACCAAGGAAAAAGGCAGCAAAAGAATGGGGAAAGCATGGCAGAAAACAGGAGTGTCCCATTTTACCTGAACATGTCATCAGAGCGAGGTAGGGGTTGATGTGTCCGTCGGCGCTTCAGGGCTTGATGTGTTTTAAGGTCCAAAGTTTCTGAAGCAACTTATTTTCTTTATAGAAACAGAGCAGAGACGTATAACACGTTCTAAAAGTAACACTAAAGGTAGTATTCACAATTTTAGTTGTTTGTCTTGGTAATCTACCCAAGAAGTGTCCCAAATTACCTGACTTCACCCTACAGTACGCCTGGGGCAAGAACTTGTGCTGTGAAAACATCATTTCACAGTGTTCTCACAAGGGCTCCATTAGTGATCAATAGGATAAAATTTGTGAGAATCAGCTCGGTACTTCCATTTTCTGTCTGACTGCTTTAGAGCAAGTCAGAGGAATCAATATGCTAACATTTCATATTAATCGGACCGAGTAAATATTTATTCAGTGACTAATAGAGCTCTATTTTAAGCAACGTGGAGGTTTTTTTTTTAGCGTTAACAGTGTTTCATCTCACACGTCGACAGATCTAACATCAGCTTATCTTGAAAGACGAGGATGAGGAAGCTCAAACCCGTGGTGGAAGAAGCACACCGCCTTCATCTGTCCCAACTGTCTTAATATCAGCTCAGGTGAAGACTGGACTTGATGAATTAAAAGGAGGAAAGGATGCCAAGTAAAGCCATTAGGATAAAGGAACTCGGGCGTGTGTCTGGCTCGCCGGTTGTCATGGTTGCGGTGTTTATCACCTCTTTCTGCCGACAGAGGCCCAGGGGCAAATCAGATTGGCTTCAGACAGAGAGAGAGCTGGTGAGTGAGGGGGAGGACATATTGGCACAGTGGAGGGGTGAAATGCCAACACGCTGCAGAGGGGAGACTGAGGAAGGGCACTGGACAAATGTCAATGTGGCTTATTCATGATAAGATTTTGTTTTCTAGCCATTTGACTCTGGTTTGAGGTTTGAGGTGCGGTGATATTAATCAGTCTAATTAAGCAAATCCCTGCTTTAGATCTCTTTTGTTTACTCACATGAGGTTTAGACATTTTTTTCTCTGCTTGTGCTCGATTTTTGTGAAACTACAGTTTTATTTTGTGTCTTTTTTTTTGCACCTGTCTTATCTTTGTAACCCTATCTTTCAGGCAGCAAACCCCAGCGAGGTCTCTGCGTTGTGTTAGGTGAAGTATACCGGGGCGGCAGGGGAGACAGGGAAACAGGACTCAAACTGGTGGTTGAGGCGGAGCAAACTTCCCTCATTTATTGGCCTTACGAGACACAAAACAAACTGTCTTCAGTTTCCAAGGCACATATTAACACTTGAATTAAACTAAATATCAAATACAGAATAAAATAAACTTCAGCTGCCTCTGTTACAGTTACTGATTAGCCAGATACAACACAACTAGCTCCACACGGTTAGTACATCAGTATAAACACATTTCAACATAAAAATTACAGGAATTGTCCCATCTTTAACATAACCACTCTTGGGACTGGCGTGTTTAATACAATTATAACAGACAGTTATGTTAATGACTTAAATAAAGTGGTTTCATTAGTACAGTGTTTGGAAACCCTCCTTACCTTACGAGACGCAAAACAAACTGTGAACTACAGTGGCTGCGGAGGGTCAAAAAGACTCAAAACTACAGTGGGCCAAAAAGGACAGAAACATAAATACCGCTCTCTGCTGGTGAACATAAACTCACTCCCTTACATCTTGATGTCCCTGTAGACCACTTAAGAATATTTTAAGAGCATTAACAGGCTGTCTTCAGGTATCAGACACTAAAATTCATGACTTTTAAGACTGTTTTAAGATCATCTTCAACCAAATTTAAGATGAATTTTTCAGACAAATCATCCTTGTCCTATTCAAGCATAGCATGCAAGTATAAAGGCAAGTAAATACTGTATGTGGTCTCATGGAGAGGTAGGTGTTTTAAGGACCTTTAAAGGTGTTAAATAACAATCGCTGTTGGACATATTAAATAGGTGAACGTAGGTTGGTCAGACCACTCTGGATTAGAGTTTTAGAAATTATAAGTTGCTGGTTTGCTTCAGAAATCCCTTTAAGTCCAAAGTTGTGTTTACTGGGGGGGAAACGAAACACGAAACGTATCCAAGCATGCATTTTCTGTTATCATTGTGAGTCTAATAACTGTCTGTCGCGTTAGTCTAAGACACAGGAAGACAACAAAGGTTCCAGAGGTGCAAACTGGGTTAATGCAATGGTGGAAATAGCATCTTATGAACGTATGCTCAGTAGAATAAATGGCGAAAGGAGAAAGGAGTATCTAAGGAGTATCAAAATGGAGGATAGGCCTACATGATTATGAACTTGCACTGTGATTATGTGACCCTGTAGAGTGATGTATGAGGACATATGTGTGACATGTGGACTTTCATGCAGAAGAGCTCTACACAAATTGACAAAATGAAATTAAAAGATGGACAGGATGCAATGTTTGCGGCAATTAATACCTCTCAAATTCAAATTTAAGACCATATAATGAATTTTAAGGCCTAATGCTTATTAAAATTGAATTTAAGACATTTTAAAACATGCAGAGACTCTGATTAATGCACACAAGCATTTTTAAAGCCCTTGAATTTCTGTGAAATACACAGATTGGTGGCCTTTTAATAGGAGCCTTGGAGGCATCTAAATCTCAGACCGTCCTTACACAAAAAAAAAAGAAAAAAAAAAGTCAGGTGTTCAATTTGCCCAGCATCCCTCGTGGCCTATGCCTGCCACCTAGCGGCCCCCCTAAACCAATCATCCCAGTTTGAAGCCTTGTACAGGTGCATTAGGAGAAGTGGGGGGTACAATTTCAATGGAGCACCGTGGCTGTCATGTGGCTAGCTGACAAGACAATTCACATCCAATCCACTCCTGGTCGGCTATATTGGCTAAAGAGATTAAAAAGAATGACATTTACCGGCTGTGACAAGTGGTCGGTTCTCAATCTAGCAGCCATAATCATAACCAGATGGCTGCCAGCTGCCAGTTACATCCAGGTGGCTACTTGTCGCTGCCGCTGTCCCCTTCTCCCCGCAGCTATCATAACCACTCCTGACTGCACGTGTTAGCATTCTAGCCGCGCCTCCTTTCCGCTCAGAGCCAATCAGACGGCGGCGTAGTGAAGCGCTGATTCTTCTCAGCGAATCAGAGCGCGTCTTGTTGAGGAGAGGCTCTTATTCACTCATACAGAGGCCCTTCTGTCAACAGGGAGGAAGGTACGGATGTATTTCTGTCGCACCGGCTTCATGAAGTACTTTTAAAGTTTCTCTTCGGCTCTGCTTTGAAACAGACTGTTAACGGAAGCCGTTAAAGCTTATTTTAAGTAATATTTGTACATTTTAAACACTAAATTCTTGTGTTAGCCGGTAGCATTCATTTATGTTTATATTCCTGCGTGTGTAAAAGAGACTTCTTGGCAGTTTCAATGTGGCTGTTGTCGCTGTTTTGAGTCTTACAGAGCATATGAGAGGTTCAGGTTTAGTTAAGGGTGGTCTGCCGGGGTTGTATTTTAGCTGACACCTCGCTGAATAGGGCGAAACCACCAGACAGCCTGTGTGAATAGCTGTATTGTGGGCGCTGGCTGGTGTGTGTGACAGTTCAGGTTCAGACCTATAGGCCTCTTCCACAGAGGAGGGTCTTGTTAGTGTGTGTTGTTGCGGACCTATTGGTGTCTGAGCTTTCATTTGGCGATACTCGTCTGTAAGGCAGGGCTTTCATCATCATAGCTGTGTTCAGGCTGACACGGTGTGTCGCCGTGCTGAGGAGTAAATTACCGGTGACAGCGACCTGTCCTGTTGTTTATGGTCGCGCCTTGCTGTCAGCCCGCAGTGCCAAACTTTCATCATCTCTGCCGAAGATGCCGCAGACAAACAAGTTCAGGAACGCCCCAGTTTCTTCTGACTCCTCAAGCTCCGTCCAAGGTGGAGCCTCAGCAGAGGATGCAGAGCCGGTGTCCCGGGAGGAGTGCCAGGCTGCAGGGGACGGAGGAGGAGGAGGAGGAGGAGGAGAGGACAATGTGGGAGACAGAGAGATCATCAAGTCTCCTAGTGACCCCAAAGAGTACAGGTAAAGGAGGTTAAACCCAGATTCAAGCTTTCATATATGTGTCACTGTACTGTACAGAGGTGGATGAAGCACCTGAACGCCTCACTTGAGTACAAATACAGATATCTGACCAGAAAATGACTTTGGTAGAAGTTAAAGTCACCTTTTACTTGAGTAAAAGTCTTTAAGTATCTGATATTTAATGTACTCAAGTGTGATATTAAATGAAATATAGTATAGAAAGTAAAAGTACAAGTAGCTGTTGTTAATAATTAAGCAAGCAGTCAGAATTTTGAGAATTGGAGACAGCGAGATCGTCAAGTCATCCAGTGACCCCAAAGAGTACTGTTAAAGGAAGTTACACCCAGATTCAAGCTGTCATACACGTGGCACTTCTTCTATTTCAATCATACACTGCAATGCACAGTGGTGGATGAAGTACCTGAACGCCACACTTGGGTTAAAGTACAGGTATCTGACCAGAAAATGACTTTAGTAGAAGTTAAAAGTCTTGAAGTATCAGATATTTACTGTACTAAAGTCTGATATTAAATACAATTAAGTATTGGAAGTAAAATTACAAGTAAATGTGGTCAGAATTTTGAGAATTGTAAAATTTATTTCTTTGTAACATGTACAGCACCTTAAAAATGGAGCCTGCAACAAGAATGCGGCCTTGTTCACAACTCGAAAATCCATTTTTTTCTTCAGTCCCATTCCTTCACTCGTTCGTCCATCCCTTCCTTATTTTGTAATAATAATAATAATTATAATAAAATGTATTTGCTTCACAAAATACAGGTAAGCAATCAAACAATTAAACATGCAGTCAATGTGGTAAAGTGGTTAACACTGCCGCCTCACAGCAAGAGGGTTTGAACCCAGGGTGGGAGAGCCCTTCTGTGCGGAGTTTGTATGTTCTCCCTGTGTCACCGTGGGTTTTCTCCGGGTACTCCGGCTTCCTCCCACAGTCCAAAGACATGCAGGTTAACTGGTGACTCTAAATTGTCCGTAGGTGTGAATGTGAGTGTGAATGGTTGTCTGTCTCTATGTGTCAGCCCTGTGATAGTCTGGCAACCTGTCCAGGGTGTACCCTGCCTCTTGCACAATGTCAGCTGGGATAGGCTCCAGCCTGCCCGTGACCCCTAACAGGATAAGCGGTTACAGAAAATGAATATAACAAATAAAACAATGCAACAAAAGAAAGTAAAACACAGAGCAAATACAGGCTGCTGAGGCCTCTAACAGAAACATACCAGGGAACAAGCACTGGACAATTTAGGGTGGGACAAAGGCCATTTTGAAGAAATGGGTCTTGAGTTGTTTTTAGAAATGTCTAAAGAAACCACAGGCCGTAAACTTAATGGAAGAGAGTCCCATAGTGCCCCATTGTCTAATTAAGCAATTCCCTGCTTTACTTTTTTTTGTTTACTCACATGAGGTTTAGCCATTTATTTCTCTGCTTTTGCTCGATTTTTGTCAAACTACAGCTTTCTTTTGGTCTTATTTTGCACCTGTCTTACCTTGATGTCCCAGTAGAGCAGCTTAACCAGCTGTCTACTGGTATCAGACACTAATCACGACTTTGAAGACTGTTTGAAGATCATCTTTTACCAAATTTAAGACTAAATTTTTAGACAAATCATCTTTGTCTCATTCAAGCATTGCAAACAAGCATAAAGATAAGTAAGCACCGTATGTGATCCCATGCGGAGGAAGGTTTTATGTACGAATGTGGAACAAGCGCTAGAAGATTTAGGGTGGGACAAAGGCCATTTTTAAGGTCTTAAGTTGTTTTTAAAAATGTCTAAAGAGACCGCAGACCGTAAACCTAATGGAGGAGATTTACATAGTGTTGGAGCCACTGCTTTAAAGGCACGATCACCTTTTGTTTTCAGTCTGGAGCAGTAAGGAAGGAAGATTCCTGGGGGAAATATAGTGGAGTAACAGCTAAAGATGGCAGAAATATAAAATCAAGTATCTGTACCATATAAGTACTGTAACAAAGTACTATTACTTTGTTTCATTACACCTCTGGTACTGCAGCCCTGTTACATGATGTATCACCTCTATTTTGTACTTTACTCCAAGTAACTGTTATCGAAATGATTTTAGGTGCAATGATACACATATGAAGTTACTATTTTGTCATATTCATGAACATGAAAGTGCTGGGTAAAATGACCCAGATCCACTAACCCAGATCCAAAAATGATATCGCGCCTCTCTTCCAGCTGGATCAGTACAGTATTATTGTAGTTTGATGGGACGATTTCATGCTATGAGCACACGCCAGTGCCTCGGGCCTCTGTAGGGCATACACAGAGAAATTTGCTGTGAAAAAAGCTTAGAGGAAGAGAGAGTCTCAGAGGGTATCAGATGCAGTCTGCAAAGAGACATTTGATTTAACAACCAGCTCAAAATAAGAAGAAAAAAACAATGAATGCTGCAAAACTCAACAAAACAACACTTTCCCCACACAAAAACTCTCTGTGCTGTTTCACCTTTGACTTCACTCCCTGCAGATACATTGTGCTGGACAACGGCCTGCGAGCTCTGCTCATCTCAGACTACAGCGGCCCAGCGGCGTCCGACGATGAGGACTCAGATGGAGAAGAGGAAGAGGAGGAGGAGGAGGAGGAGGAGGAGGAATCTGGAGATGAAACGGGGGATGATTCTGAGGAGGAGGAAGGTGATGACGATGATGAGAGGGGCAGTGATGATGAAGAAGATGACAACGAGGGGAAAAAGAAGAAAGGAAACGCAGAGAAACAGGTACCACTGGGAAGTGTTAAATGGAGAGCCACATTAATTTTTTAGCAGACTAGACATATGTTAAATGACTCAGAGGAGGAGGAAAAACATGAGTCATGCTGAAACCAAAGAAATATGTGTTGAAATCAGATATGCAGATTTATGCAAAAGAGTTGTCAGCACAAACTGTAAGCTATTTATAGTGCCGTTAAACAGAGGTGGGACCGAGCTATTGTTTGGCAAGTCACAAGTAAGTCTCAAGTTTTCCCACTCATGTCCCAAGTCAAGACAGGCAAGTACCATGTCTGGTTGAAGTGATGCAGGAGACACTGAGTTGTTCTCCAAAGTACCCCCTAAACATGTAATTTTAGACATCCATCCATCCATTCATTTTCATCCGCTTATTCGGGGCCGGGTCTTGGGGGCAGCAGGCCAAGCAAAGCACCCCAGACATCCCGCTTTCCAGCAACACTTTTCTTGCTCCTCCTCGGGCATCCTGAGGTGTTCCCAGGCCAGATGAGATATGGAATCCCTCCAGTGTGTTCTGGGTCTGCCCCGGGGCCTCCTACCAGTGGGATGTGCCCGAAACACCTCTAACAGGAGGCGCCCAGGAGGCATCCTGATCAGATGCCCGAATCACCTCAATTGAACCTTTTTGATGCGAAGGAGCAGCGGCTCTACTCCGAGCTCACTCCGCATGTCCAAGCTCCTTACCCTGTCTCTAAGGCTGAGCCCAGCTACCCCACAGAGGAAACTCATTTTGGCCGCTTGTATCTGCGATCTCATTCTTTCGGTCACTACCCAAAGCTCATGACCATAGGTGAGGGTTGGGACATAGACGGACCAGTAAATCGAAAGCTTTGCCTTCCGGCTCAGCTCCCTCTTCACCACGACAGTCCGGTGCAACGCCACTGATCCATCTCATGCTCTATTCTAGACATCGGTTTTAGACAGCAAGTCCAAAATACATAGATTTTTAATTAGCTGGATTCATTTTGGATAAACAGAGCATGAACATGCCCTTGAGAGCAGTCACTCAAGAGCTGAAACCTACAAATATCAAGGGATGAGTGCAACAAGCAAATTACAAACACAATGGCAAGGATGGAGACGAAGGCTGAAAACAGTCTTGAAATTTTGGTGCTGAGCATAAAGGAAGATATTACGATGCACATCGGTAATTTTCGATCATAATTTCAACACAGTCGTTCAGATTAAACAAAAGAGGACATTCGAAAACCAAGAACAGATCTGGGGAATTATGCGTCCTTGGGCTTGGAGAGACTCAAGTCCAAGTGAAGTGTCGAGTCATTGGTGTGAAATTCCAAATCAAATTGCAAGTCTTTTTTGATTTTGTCAAGTTGAATCAAAAGTTAGCAATTTTGTGACTATAGTCTGAGGCATGTGACTTGAGTCCACACCTCTGCTGTTAAATACACACACTTGTAAATCACACCTGTGCCTAAAACGTCGACGCATACAGGGCTTGAGCCACTCAGTGTTAACAAATACCACAAAAAGAACAAACCAATAATTTATTAGCTTGCATCTCACTACTCTTCTGACTCCCCTGCCCTGTCTGCTGCCCTTAGCTCACCTCTCAATCATTCCTCTAGAAGACATAAACCTTTAAAAACCACTCAGGAATATCTGGTTTCATTGTTAAACAAGGCAAATGAAACAGAAGAATATATTAGGCTATAGCTGGGGGATTTGTGGACCAGAAGAATAACAAACTTATTGTTCAAGTGCATTGCCAGACTCAAACCTGACTCATAGACGTCCTCTGTGTCTGTGTGTTTGTGTGTGTCAGTCCGCAGCAGCTCTGTGTGTTGGAGTGGGCAGCTTCAGCGACCCCAGTGACCTCCCCGGCCTCGCTCACTTTCTGGAACACAGTGAGTAATCAACCAGAGAGGGAACCAGAGAGGGTCGAGTCATTTCTCATCTCTCCTCGGTCGAGGGTTAATTCGCCCTTATGTACGGTATCATCTATCAAGTCAAGTCATGTCAGTGTTGTTTATATAGCTCGAAATCGCAAATCAAAAATTTCCCTCTGAGTCTGTACAACGTGCAGCACCCCATATCCTTACACTCTCTGGATTTGGACAAAGAAAAACTGCACTTTAATGTGGGGGGAAAAAGGAGAAACCTCAGGAAGAGCAACCATATTTAATGCATTCCAGGAGTTGTTTTGTTATTTTAAATTATTCAGTGTACCCTCTTTTCCTTAACCTGTTTTGTCTACTTCTACTTCAGTTAATAATTTCTGACATCTCCCAGAATACCCTCCATCAAGCAACAAAGAGTGGTTAAGAAACTTGTTGCATTAAGTTTTTATTCCGGTCCAAAAAAGCAAGAGGTGCTCGCTTTCTTTATTTCTTTTTTTTTGAAACGCAACATATCTTCTGAATTGCATTCGAGTCTACTGATGCTCCTGTCAGTGGAGAAATTGTTGTATCTGTCTCCTCCACCGTTGTGATTGTCGAACATTGTTCCTAAATGTTCTTTTCTGAAATGAAAGCCTCGCTCATTCTTATAGTCTGTCATCAAACCTGTCACCAAATGTTAAAAAAGCTATCAATTCTATTGTGGCTCAGCAGGAGATATAATGCCACGCTGTCTGTTTGGCCAGCTCTCCACATAAATAAGAAAACCACAAATGCAAGGCACACCAAGTAGCGGTGGTGGATTTTTTTCCTTCCCTTTTAAACTCCTTTATTTTTTTATTTATAACTCTTCTCTCTTCCCTACTGTTTTTCCGTTGTGTCCCAGTGGTGTTCATGGGCAGCGAGAAGTACCCCTCAGAAAATGGCTTTGATGCTTTCCTGAAGAAGCATGGTGGGAGCGACAATGCCTCCACCGACTGCGAGAGGACCATCTTCCAGTTTGACGTCCAGAGGAAAAGCTTCAAAGAAGCTCTTGACAGGTGAGGGAGGATCAGAGGAGGCTTTTTTTGTTTTTGTTTTTAGATCAGTCGCTCTTAAGAAGTGGACTCCTTGAAAACCATCACATGATAAACACAGGACTAAGAGAAGGAGAAAGTAAACTCGAAAAAACACTTAAGACATGTTATTACATACCAACTAGAAGATGATAGCTCCTTCAAAACTTTGAGGCAAGACTCTTTCTGGTGTTGCTGTACATAACTTTCACTCTGTAGGACACGGACAGGTGGGGTCAGGTTCCAGTTGCAACAGCTTTTTATAAATCCAAAAATAAGTTTGTGTGTAAAATGCTTCTGATGTTCTTAATAAAGCTGTGGCTCAGAGGTAGAGCGGGTCATCCACTAATCAGAAGATTGGCGGCATGACGAAGTATCCTTGGGCAAGATACTGAACCCAAATTGCTCCCGCTAGCTGTTCCATCAGTGTGTGAGTGTGTGAGTGTATGAATGGGTGAATGTGACATGTAACGTAAAAGTTGCAACAATAAAACTGAATAAATGTTTTAATGTGGTTGAGTTGGTTGCTGGAGTAACGTAAAGCAGTGGTTCCCAACCTTTTTCTTGAGGGACCCATATTTTTACCATTGTAGAAATTGAGGTCACAGGATATAAAGTCTGGGGCTCAGGAGCTGCTTCAGCCACTGGTCCAGCCACGGGTTCCAGATTTCTCTTTGTCATCAGTTCAAAGTCCACACTGTTTAATATGTTCAGCATCATACTTGCATTTGGCCATGTCTTCAGGCTAGTTTGCTGTCTCTGTCAAGTAGCTGTCCGTTAGTCACTCACTCTACAGTGGAAATGGCGCTTCAAAATAAAATCTTATGAGTGAGCTTTAGATATTCGAGTTGTCAGATTTTTTTGAAATTTGTTTTTTTTACTTTTGGACACAGCCAGGCAAGCTGTTTCAAGTCTTTATGCTAAACAAAGCTAACCAATTGCTAGCCATAGCTAAACTAAACTAACCCACTGCTAGCCATAGCTAAACAAAGCTAACCAATTGCTAGCCATAGCTAAACTAAACTAACCCACTGCTAGCCATGGCTNTATTAGTGGTAGCTGCCGTATGAGCACAGTGCAGAGTGTAATTAGAGAGCCATTGGTATTCACACACTGGACCAACCTGGACTCACTCTGAAGTCATCGAAATGTGGCGCATCGGCAGTGACTTTCGGCATCAGACAAGATACAAGAAAGACGTCCTTTAACATCTACATGACACGTGGCCAGTTGCTGGTATAGTTTAACGTGGTGGGAGAAGAACATTAAGGCACAGAAAGTCCAAGTATGGTGGGTGGATCCAACAAACACTGACTTTTTACCTAGGAGAGCAGTGTTTGCGTCCCGTAAGATTATAAAGCCAAACCCTGTTCTTTTTTCCTAAACCCAACCACTTATCCAAGGCAAAAAAACTTCAATCTGCAGTGTTGTACCAACGTAGTGCCTTTATTTTGAAAGAGACTGTACATAAATGGTAAATTTCCTGTGGAAACTGAAGTGTATTTTGAAAAATGACAATGTATGTAACAGGCAGAACTTGACAAAGAGTCCCAGAGCGTCAACAACCAACACACTCAGGGTACCTTGCATGTCGTATCTGGACATGGAAAGTCCATGACCAAACATCAATATGTGACAGGGTCGGAGTCCGAATGTGTTGAATGGACTAACCTGTACCAATATCCATGCAAGGCCATACTACCTACCACAACAACCAACAGAGAAGCTTGGTCACAGAGGTAGCATAACTTTATCTTCTGCTTAGGACAGGATTATACCACTTTATTATTACAAGGCAAGTAATGGTTTGCTGCTATGTTAATGCTCTGAAATTTATGGAGCTGGTTTCCAGAGAATACATCCTACTGATTCTGGTGACTTCCTGTCTATTCCTCTAGTGCCACTGGCAAGTCAACATTTTTATATATATCCAGGGGAAATATCTGAACATTTACCTATGAATTGGCACAAAGTTTGGTTCAGACATTCATGGTCCCCAGAGGATAAATCCCAATCTGTTTTTTCCTGTAGCATCACCATGAGGTTGACATATGTGGTTTAAAGTAACACGTCTAGATTGTCATGAAGTTGAATACAGACTGTCATGTTCCCTACAGGATGAATTGTACATTTATTTTGTTCATTACAGATCACCTATAGAAGAAATAACATTTCTACCAGCCTCACTATGTTTGGCTGGTACATAAAGTTTCCTGAAAACTTTATTTTTGTCCTGTGAGAGTGAGTTCAACACATATCTGAATCCAACTGAAGCCTAATTAGCACAAATGATTAGTGGTATAATCTCTAAAATATAAGGAGAAGGTTAAGATGTTTTTTTTTTTTTTTTTAAATAAAAATGACTGATTAAAAAAGCTCAAGACTACATTTAAACATATATTAGGTCTTAAGATTATCAAAGGTTACTTTCCCCAAATACAGTCTTACTGGGGATTTGGATAAACTAACTTCACAGTTTTATTTTACTGCAACTTTAAGGACAAACATGGTTAATTTAGGCAATCATATTCAGTACTGGGGGTGAGTCTCTTTTACCATTTTTATGCTCCAGCTGTTACGTTTATTTCACTGCAACCTCAGCATCTCCTCTTGCTCTGTGTATCGGATGGGTTGAGGGTTCAGAATTACTGACTGAGTGAATTCAACTCGACATTAATGGGGAACTTGGATCATGCTGACTTGGGTCAGTGTGATATAGAGCTGCTGTGATCAGTGGTGTCCATCTGACACTGCAAACTCTAAATCTTGGCACAGTTTCTCAAAAGGTTCTTTGTGGCCGTGCGTGTGTTAATTAAATTTGACTGACAAAGCATGAGTAGCACTTATCTGGTTCGGTAAATCAAGGAGAAGAAAGGCCATTTGAAGCTTGACATCTACCCTGTTTTTCTCCAAGTTGCACTGAGATCTTCCTTGTGGTGTTTGTTGCTCTTCCTCACCTCCATAGTCAGCTTCACTTTGTATTGTGTGCCATCTTTTCAATGTCAATTGTTTAATCTCCTCTATGATACAGTGTTAAGTCTTTTACTTTAGTTCATTCAACTCTTGCTGTCTCTGCAGACTGAAGTTGCTAAATTAAACCAGAGCTGCTCTTAAGGCAAAGACATGTAGGCGTAAATCTTTAATTAAAATCCAGTGGGCACATATTTGGAGCACAACTTACAAACATGACTGACTGTCAAAAGGGTCTCTGGACAAAGTGCTATTAGAGAATACACAGTCAATTACGACTGTCTACTTTCCCTTGATACAGTAGCTATATGTTAGTGCAGTTATTTTGAAGTGCTAAGCTAAACAGCTAACTTGGCCAGAAATATCTCGACAACTATTGAAAGAATTACCACAACATTTTGTACAGATACTAGTGGTTTCCAGTGGGTGAATCCTAATTACTTTGGGGACACCCTGGTTTATTTTCTTGCACCATTTTGAGGATGACATCTTTGCTTGTTACTGAAATGTTGCAACCAAAATTCCAAGGATTGCGATGAAAGTCGGTACGAATATCAACAATGCCCACATCATAAATCCTTATGATTTTGGTTTTCCTTTTACGTCATCATCAGGTTAAGTTTTAATCATCACCAAATACCATCAAAACTAGTGACATATCAGACTCAGCTGTACTTTGTGTTTCTTGCTAATTAGCTTATTAGCATGCAAACACGCTAATCTTATCATATCAGTATTGTCATTGTGAGCATGTAAGCATGCTAACATTAGCATTTAGCAGCCTCATAGAGCCACTTGCATGTTTGTAAACTCTTGAAATTCCATTGTGTAGGATTTAGGGGGCTATATTGGCAGAAATGGAATATAATAAGTGTTTCTTCTTTAGTGTATAATCAAAATAAGAAAATAAGAATCATCATGTTTTTGTTAAGTTAAAATGAGCCTTTTATATCTACATAGGGAGCGGGTCCTTGTCCAGAGTGCACCATGTTGCACCGCCATGTTTCTACAGTACCCCAGAACGGACAAACTAAACACTAACTCTACTTAAGGCCGTTCACGTTTTTGCATCCACCTCAATATTTAGCAGCCACCTCCATGACAAGCAGCATCAGAAAAACACTATTTTTTCTTCTTACATGAAACTGCTTTATACAGCGTTTTTACTGATTTGAAGCACCGAGTGCATTTGTTTGTTTTGGAAAAGAAAAAACCTCTACAGATAATTTGACACCTGATTAAAAGCTGCTTAACATCTGGATCTAAAGTTCTCAGAGGAAAAAGGTGAGCACACATTAGCAGGTGCTGGGCTAGCAGCCCTTCTGTGACACCCTGAACAGCTTTGCAGAAACACAGATGAACCTGAAACTGCTTTGTTTTGTATTTTTTACCAGTTTCAATCACTTGGTCCATTTGTTTTAGAGAGTAAGAGACCTCTGTGGATAATTTGGCTCCTGGTAAAAACCCTCTGAACAATGAACACTGAAGGAATCCTAATCAGAAGTTATAGTTTGGCACAGGGGAGTAGTTTCAACTGGTTGCAATCTGTAATCCTCACTGTTAGATGCCACTGAATACTATAATTTGCAATACACTGCTTCTTTAAGCTTGATTTATGGTGAAGCACTCAGCACTTTTGATGAGTGTTTCTTGACAAAAACGTGACGCTCAACGCTTTCTTTTAATGTCACACAAATGGAGAATTTTGTTAAAGCAGCTGTGCGGAACTTTTTACCATTAATAAAACTGCCCTTAGTTCGTATCACCCCCCCTTGAAGATCCGCATATTTATTTGAACCCAACAGCGACAAAAAAGCCTTTCTCTATATGGCTATTTAGAGTCAGCAAACCAGAATACGGCACCCAGAGGCAGAAGTAAGTCTGCACGCCCGCAGTGGCCCGCAGCCATTAAACCACAGAAGAAGAAGGAGCCGTGTTTACAGAGAGTGTTCTTCGAGTAAGCGGTACGCAATGGGCATTGCTGAACACATAACAGTTTTACCAGATTTATCTATAAGGGCTTGGTTGTACTTTCGATGTCATCTGAAAGAAAAAGAACAGAAGAACAGAAGAAGGCTAAACGGGACAGTGATAGGCCTCGAGCCCAAACACGTGTAAACCTCGGTCAATATATGATGACATGGAAGTTATAAGCGAGCTAAATGTAACGTTAGCCGATGTGAACTGCTTTTGTCTAGTAACGTTACAACAAACGCCACAAAATTATCTGTGACTGTGACCGTGAACACAAATATACAGCAGGCAGTTGTCCTCAGTTTATAAGAAATTCAGAGAGACACCAGAACATTTATGATTTTCCTCTCGCTCTCCAAAACAAATGCATGCGGTAATTGCCGGTTGCAGTCAAGATTTTACAAATGAAGCCGAATGCCGGCTGCAGTCGGAATTTTACAACACCAGGCTGTGGGTGTCATACTGCTTCGACCAAAGGGGGCACTATAATCAACGAAAACGTGAAGTTCTGCACAGCTGCTTTAATTTCATGAAGTTGTTGGCAAACTGTTGCTGATTTATAGGGCTGCCCCCAATACCAGTGATAAATATTCATGAAGCTTCGATGCGTGTCTTTTATGGGGTGTTAATTGAGAGACGAGGACATCAGCGGCTGCAGCTAAAATAACGTGGCATTTAGCTTCTTTTTTAGCATGCAGGTCACACATTAGCCATAATCGCTAGAAACAAGAATACTTTACAAGTCAGCTGTTACTCAAAGTTTCAAGGTGAGCTCGTCGAAGTTTCCTTTGGCATATCTGGTGCTTAACATTTGGGTGTCATCTTCATAAATTCTGAAACTATTCCGGACACTTGACTTTTTCAGATACCTTGCTGGCACATCTGTAAGCCCTTCATGTTTGGTCAAACTGTCCCAGTTTCAGTAGTGCTGGACTGCTGGTCACTGACATCAGATCAGAGCGTGACAGAGTCATAAAGCTATCACTAGGTGCAAATGTCCTGTAAAATAATTAATTCATCATTCATTTTCTGTAACCACTTATCCTGTCGTGGGGGAGCTGGAGCCTTTCCCAGCTGACATTGGGCGAGAGGTGGGGTACACCCTGGACAGGTCACCAGACTATCACAGGGCTGACACATAGAGACAGACAACCATTCACACTCACATTCACAACTACGGACAATTTAGAGTCACCAATTAACCTGCATGTCTTTGGACTGTGGGAGGAAGCTGGAGTAGCCAGAGAAAACCCATGCTGACACGGGGAGAACATGCAAACTCCACACAAAAGGGTTTATTTAGCACATCTTGCTGCATCCTGGGTGCCACCCCATTGATTGTGAGATTGTGATTGGTTTAAAGAAATACAAACAAGACAGGGCTTTTTTTTTATGATGCAGGATTATGATGGGTTCAGCCAGACTTTTCTCCAGCACTAAAACAAAGTGTGGGGATAGGTCTGGCTATGAAAGACCACTCTACCTCTAGCTTAACTTTGGTCTCCAGCAACTCCTGAGATAAAAATCTGGCTCTTTAGCTGCTAAATGCTCCTCTATAATCATGTAGTATATAAGATACAGAAAAACTGATTACAGCAGCTTTAAGTTATCTTTAAGGTTTCAGTCCAAGTTGTTCCATCCGAATGAGCTGAGTATCTGTTAGCGTACGCAGAGAATCTCTGCTTGAGCAGCCTCTGTGTCAGAGATGCTGAAGAGAAGCAACTTCCATTTACAGCACAGCCAAATAAACCAGACTGACACGATTCATGGTGTTGCATTGTTTTATTAAAGAATAAAGCCAATAACTGGTCTTTTTCCATCACGCTGTGAGCATTCGATCACGATCTGAGCTCACGCTGTGTGCAGGGCGGGATTGTTTTCTCAAGCAAAGAATGCTTACACAAAGAAGAGTGTTCATGTGTTCAAATCGTGACCTTACATGAGGCGGATCCTAACTCCATATTGATACTGTGGATATCCCTACTGGAGGAGAGCGCTCGGTAAACAGGGAGGGTTTTGTCAATGAGAAAAACGTGAATGCTTATTTTTCTGTGAATCTCTGGTGTGTGTGATATGAATCCCACACAGCAAAAAGGGACTTTGCCAGTTACAGTGAAACTACTAAACAAAATTACAGAATGTAATGTACAGTAATGGATTAATTGGTTGTGGCAGAAAAAATGCTGGCCATAAATACTATTCAAATTAGTGTTAATAAAAAGGGTTCTTCCACCACCACAATAAAAACGGGACTGGAACTGGACTCCTATTACTCCCCAAAAAGTTTATTTATATGATAAACAAAAATATAAATGCAACCCCCCGGGTTTGCACCCCAGGGTGGGGGGCTGTTTTCTCTGGCTACTCCAGCTTCCTCTCACAGTCCAAAGACATGCAAGTTAATTGGTGACTCTTAATTGTCCGTAGGTGAATGTGAGTGTGAATGGTTGTCTGTCTCTATGTGTCAGCCCTGTGATAGTCTGGTGACCTGTCCAGGGTGTACCCTGCCTCTGGCCCAATGTCAGCTGGGAAAGGCTCCAGCCCCCCCGCAACTCCCAACAGGATAATAAGCGGTTACAGAAATGAATGAATGTGTCAGTGAGCACTTTTCTTTTCCAAGATAATCCATCCACCTGTCAGGTGTGGCACGTCAAGATACTGATTAAAAAGCCTTGGGATGGTCACTCTAAAATGTGCATTTTGATCACACAACACAACACCACAGATGTCACAAGTTTTGAGGGAGCGTGCCATCGGCATGCTGACTGCAGGAACGTCCACCAGAGCTGCTGCCTCTGAAATGAATGTTAATCTCACCGCCAATCTCCAAGTCTCCACTGTTGTTGCTGTGAGTTTGGCAACACGTCCAACCATCCTCACAACCACAGACTGCATGTAACCGCACCAGGTCAGGACCTCCACGTCCAGTGTCTGACACCAGCCACTTGGACAGCTGATCCGCAACCAAAGAATTCCTGCACCAACTGTCAGAAAACTGTCTGCGGGAAGCTCATCTGCATGCTCGTCATCTTCAGAAGGGGTCTTGACCTGACTGCAGTCTGTCGTCGTCACACACTTGAGTGGCCAACTGCTCACCTCCGACGGCGTCTGGCACTTTGGAGAAGTGTTCTCTTTACAGATGAGTCCCGTGTGACCAAAAACGAATATCTGTAGCCCTAGTTATGTGAAATCAATACTCCAGAGTGTCTAATAAATGTCTTTTTTTCCAAGATAAAACTGCACACTTTAGTGTGGCCTTTTACTGAGACCAGCCCGAGGCCAATGTGTAGTAATTACGCTGTTTAATCAGCATCTTGATATGCCACACGTGTCAGGTGGATGGATTATCTTGGAGAAGGGAAAGAACTCACTGACATAGATTTGAACAAGTTTGTGTCCACAGAAATAGTCTTAGATCTTTAACTTAAATTCATGAAAAATGGGAGAATAAACAAAAGCATCTATATTTTTGTTCAGTGTTTGTATAATGTCCCCAGAGCCAGGGCCCCGCCCTTGCCTGCCGCCCGGTACACAATGCACCAAACCCTGTTTCCTGTCCCTGCAGCTGACCAATGGTCATGAGCTCTGGGTAGTGACCAAAAGAAAAAGATCGCGGAAAGAGGTGGCAAAAATTAGTTTCCTCTGTGGTGTGGCTGGGCTCAGGCTTAGAGATAGCGAGGAACTCAGACATCCAGACGGAGCTCGGAGTAGAGCCGCTGCTCCTTCACAGCGAAAGGGGTCAGTTGAGGTGGTTCGGGCATCTGATCAGGATGCCTCCTGGGCGCCTCCAGGTAGTGGTGTTCCGGGCACATCCCACTGGTAGGAGACCCCAGGGTAGACCCAGAACCTGCTGGAGGGATTACATATCTCATCTGGTCTGGGAACGCCTTGGGGTCCCACAGGAGGAGCTGGAAAGCATTGCTGGGGAGAGGGGCATTTGGGGTGCTTTGCTTGGCCTGCTGCCCAAGCGACCTGGCCCCGAATAAGTGGCTGAAAATGGATGGATGTTTATAAAACACTAAATTACACTTTTATTGGTTCTTAAAAAATGTTACTACTTTTTTCATATGTAATGTGAAAACAACAATAAAGCAGGTGTATATCCAGGGTGTCTACAGGTCCTTAAAAGTCATTTAATAGTCTTAAATTTGAATTTGTGAGCTCCTAACTGCTAAAAACATTTGATCTAATTTCATTTATCCATTTTTAATTTATCTTTGTGAAAATGAGTGAAGCCTGTCTTTCTAAAAGTCCACAATTCTAATGTTACAAATCTTTAAAAAACTATAATACTGTCGTTTTACTTCAAACTTGCACTGACCTGTTGGCAAAATGTAGATCAGGGGTGTCAAACGCATTTTAGTTCATGAGCCTCATACAGCCCAGATGGGCCGGACCAGTAAAACCTTCGTCCAATAACCTATAAGTATCATGAGCTTCAATAGTTTACCTTTTTTGTTTTAAGAATTACAGGTACATTCTGTAGATGTTCATCCTTTAACAAAATAATTGAACAGTCTAGTTGTCTAGTGGGCCGGACTGGATCCTTTGGTGGGCCAGTTCTGGTGATTGATTGATTGATGATTTGTCCAAAAATCGGTCCTAAATTTGGTTAAAAGGTGTCTTGAACGTGTCGTGAAAACCATTAAATTTAACTGTCTGATGCCTGTAGACACCCTGATATCAAGTATCACTAGGTTAGAAACAGGTGACCTCAGTATCCATGTGCTTAGAGCTGTGATGTTTAGTAAGTAATGCATTTAAACGAGCCTTTTATGGGTTAAATGTAGTCAACTCTGCAGTTGCTTTGAAGCAAACTGTATTGCACTCAACACTCCCAAACTCCCAAACCTAGAATTATGAGGGGTTTTTTTTTTCAGCCAGAATTATTGAGACACACTCGAACTCTAATTTATCCTCCTTCACTTGGCCTGTCCTTTAGAGAAGCTGGACACTCTGGAGGAGTGGGTGAGAGAGATCTTCAGCAAGGTGCCTAACAAGTGAGTATTGGAGAAGAGGCTCTCAGTCACTGTGATGAGGTGCTGGTGTGATATAGATTGAGTCAGAACATCCTTTGAGACTTTTCTCAAATGTAAATGTCAAGCCTCCCTCCGTCTCTTTCTCGGCTCTCTTTACATCGCTTCACCTCGGGTTTTTTTTATTTTTGTCATCGTACATGCTGAAAGGGATAATTTCTCCCTAAAGTCAAACTGAATTTATGTTTTTCTTAAAGACCTTCGCTTCTGTTTGCTTTGTGAGTCACCGCGGCAGGTTTTTCTCAGAGAATCGTCGTACATATCACTGATGTGAAACCGCATAACCTCCAGTTTTTAATGCTTTGATTTCAATTAAAGGATTTCATGCTCCTGTATGGGCTGATGAAATATCTCTTGTTATTGAGCTCATAAAACATTCTCAAGCCTGATCTCCCTCAGATCAACTAAATTCATTTGCTGAAAACATATGGAAAATTAACATTTTTTTGGAATTTGGCAGAAACAAGATGCTATTTTTGTGATCTCTGACATCTTCAAACGTCTTCAATCAGCATATTTAATCGCTTGTAAAGAAATTATACTAGAACAAGTGTTCTCTCTGTTGTTTTTTTAAATAAGACATTAGATTTTTACAATTAGGAAAAGCATTACAGTGTGTTTAAGACCTGTTTAGTGACATATCAACATTGTTTAATTGATGGTGTGAAGTGATACAGCACAGTCACCTGTTGCTTCCGATAATCATTTTTTTGTGTCCACAGTGGTCTGTCCAAACCAGATTTTTCCGAGATGCTGGATCCCTTTGACACACCAGCCTTTAACCAGCTCTACAGAGGTACTGATCACTCAGTAAATACTGATGACAGCTGGTGAGCTCTGGTTCTGTAGAGCAGTGGTTCCCAACTGGTGGGTCCTGGTCCAAAACTGGGTCAGTTCTGAATGGCTAGCAAACATCTCAAGGTTGAAAGAAAACATGCTTTATTTTGAAGTATAGTCAATTTCCGGCACAGATGTTTTATTTTGAAGTGCTGTTTCCTACTGTAGAGTGAATAACTAATGGACATCTAATTGGCAGAGACAGCGAACTAGCTCGATGGCATGACCAAACGCAAGTATGATGCTGAATGTATTCAACTGTGTGGACCTTGAACTAATGACTAAGGAGAGATCTGGACTCTATGGCTGCACCAGTTGGGAACCACTGCTCTTAATACATGTGTTCAGCCAGGAGATGGTTCATGTACGGAAGCCTTGATTGGGAAGTGAGAAAAAAAATGTCTGATCTAAGTTGTTTTCTCTCCTGTTTTTATGACCTCAGAAGACTTTTCTGCAAGTTCTGCAAGGACTGACTTCATCAGTTCCTTATTTTTCATCTGAGAAACAGTTGGAACAAAAGTTTTGCCAAGTTTCTAAGTAACTTTTCTCACCTTCAAAAACAGGCAAAAAAAACCAGCCTTTGAGCTGGTGAAAACAAAAAAATTCTGAGTTTTTGTTGTTGTAAAACTCATTTTGGCCACAACAGGCTGGAGTGCACCACTAATCCAGGACTCAAAGCAGTGTCTCAGCGTCAAGTTATCTTACACTACTGTTATGTCCTTCTGGCTAGAAAATGTATTTTAATCTGTGCTAATCTCCCATTAATAAGAAGCAAGTTAGAAAAATGATCCTAGCAAAACCAGTTTCACAGAATGAAAAATAACATTAGTAATAATAACAATAATATAATAATAATAATGGAGAAACAAGAAAGGCTATCATCTCAAAACCTTTTTATTTTAACCTGTTCTTAGATGAACAGTGTGTGAGATTTTGGGGGATTTAGTGGTATCCAGCAGTGTAGATTGCAGATTGAAACTAGCTGAAACTGTTCCCGGTTAGCATTCCCTCAGTGTTCATTGCTCAGGAGGTTAATACAGGGAGCTGAATTATCCACAGATGTCTCTTTGTATCCAAAACAAACCAACACGGTGATTAAAACTGGTAAAAACATTGACTAAAGCAGTTTCATGTTACAACTTGGTGTTATTTCTACACTGTTCGGCCCATTGCAGACAGGCTGCTAGCCCAGCACCCGCTAATGTGTGCTCACATTTTCTCTCTGATGTGAGCTGACCTTATTTTTGATCCAACATTTAGGAGGTTTTTACTGGGAGCCAAATTATCCGCAGAGGTCTCTGCCTCTCCAAAACAAGTGGACCCAGTGATTTAAACTGGTTAAAACACTGAATAGAAGAGTCAGTGTTTCTCTGATGCTGTTCGGCTTGTTGGAGACAGGCAGTTTGCCCAGCACCTGCAAATGTGTGCTCACGTTTTTAAAGATTATTTTTTGGGCTTTTTGACTTTATTGTAGTGCAGCTATAATAGTGCAGGAAAGTGGGTAAAGGGAGGGGGAATGACGCAGCAAAGGGCCACAGCATGGAATTGAACCCAGGTGGCTACAAACACATTTAGCCTATATATGTAGGCAGAAGTTATCGTTCTGTCATGGTGTTTTCTGTAACTGTGTGTGTGTTTGCAGTTGTCCCTGTGAGGAAAGTTCATGCTTTGAATATCACCTGGGCCCTCCCCCCTCAGGAGAAACACTACAGGTGAGCTACTTACATTGCAGTAGATGTACAGTTCATGGTACAGGGCGCATACATGCAGAGCTAGACGACCAACAACAGACCACACTTTCCCCTGACTTGGAATAAGTTGCATCAACAGTGTTTGTTTCTCTGTTTTTTTTTCCTCATGTCCCTGTCTCCTTCCTCCAGAGTGGCGCCTCTTCATATAAACATAGAATTAGACCAGCCAAAAGATGCCATGCCTTTTCCCTGATTGTAGAGGGATTGCATCAATGTTTTTTGTTTCTCCTTTTCATGTTCTTCCCTCCTCTTTTCAGAGTGAAGCCTCTCCACTACATCTCATGGCTGATTGGCCATGAAGGCACAGGAAGCATCCTCTCAGTGCTCAGGAAGAAGTGAGTGTTATTGCCTCTGTCTGTTTGTTTTTCTGATTTGAGGGCCCTCCAAAACCCAATTAAAAGGTCTTCAATTTACTGGGTATACATGAGCTTTTTCCAGCTCCGAGCGTGGCCCGAGTGTCGGAGCCCAATCTTCAAACTATACACTTTGCCAGCCCACTTGACGATGTGATTCATACATTCTCATCCCTGGATGTGGTTGTACAAGAGCATTTCAGCCTCTTGTTGCTAAGTGGCAAAGTGATGCGACAAACCCTCTGTAGTCCCACAATACCAAGAGCCCATCCAATAGTCCCTCTCCCATCAGCAACACTCGGAGCGTTTGATAGAATATTCCTATTTACTGTGTGTGCTGTTTTCAATTGTTGATAAATGACAACAGTGAAATTTGAGTGTACTCGGTCTCAATTCCCAGCCGAACCAAACTGCCGAGGCAGTGGAGTGGTTGTTTTTATTGAGTTCAGACAATCACAACGTCAAGGGCCGAGAGGCTGGTTTGAAATCGCGCCATCGCTGTCCCCCGCAGTGAAACTGGGGAATGGTCTGTCTATATGTGTGTCCATCACGCACACTGTCGGGAACACCACTGATCAGATGCCTTAAAGTTTAAAGGGCTGTGCCAGAGTTTTCGGAGGTTGTAGAATAAAGATGTGTACTCCACATTACTGCAGGCCATTTTAAAAAGCACACTATACACAGTGTTTCTCATGCATCTTTCCCTCCACTGGTGTCACTTCATTTCAGTGCAGTTTGAGAACTTTCAGATATAAAAACTCGCCAACATCATTCCTACTTGTTTGGCAATGCAGTGCAGACTTTTCAAACCAACCTTTGCTGTTAAGTGCATCATCATACCACTAGATAGAACATGTCTTCATGCAGATAAAAGCAGACATGATGGGATGAATCACCCAGCACTAATAAATTTCACATCTCTTAAAGTTGTTTTTTATGTTTTTAAATGAATGAGAGGCTGCCCCTGCATGATGCATTTTAGAACGATATGGTGTGTTGTTTCTTTATTCTGGGATTTTTAAAGCAGCGCTGACTGCCCCAAAGGGACAACAAATGCGTCTGTAAATCGTCTGCAATAAAGAGGCGTAAAGTGACATATTTTCTGCTTACTCTCCTTCACTTATTTCAACACTCAATGTGCATTCTGTCTAAACTTTATAACAGTGAGTCAATCTTTACCGGTGGAACCATTTTTAAAACCAGTGTTAATTAAAGGACCTAAAACCGACATTCAAAGCATTAATATAGCAGCAAACAACGATCAGCTGTATACAGATATAGTGGCGGTATGGCGTCCTGAGCAGAGAAGGAAGTCAGGCTCCCCGTGTGTGTGCTGTAATGCAAGCTTCACTGATAGTTGCTGTGGAGGACAGTTTGGCAGTGTGTGCGTGTTGGTGCACGTGAGTAGAGGTGTGCTATATCATCTCGTTCAGGATAATACAGGTGAAAAATTCATGTGGAAATTATTACCGACTCTGCAGTGGTTCCAAAAAGAGGAGCAGCTTCAGTAGTGTGGAATAAACTATGGCGTCCTGAATGTTTTATGAACAGCCCCGGACGTCTCAGACTCTTTAAGCAGCTTACCGCTCAGAGGGAACTCATTCAGCGGCTCCTCTGGCAACAGCACAGCGTCTCTCCCTCTCCTCTCTCGCTGTACGCACACAGGAGTCGGTGTCGTCAAGTGATTTTGTCATCAACCTTTGGTAATGTAAACCTACGTCGACAAAAAGAACGACATATATGTGAATGTGTGATAGTTGTGGTATCATAACAGCCTGTCACAAGTTACAGCGTGATGATTAGAGGAGAAATGGCAGAGCATAAAGGTCCAGGTGGGAAAAAAACAACTCAATCATTTAGGATTTTACTAAAAGAAGGAAATCACCTTTTGATTTATATATACAGTACAGGCCAAAAGTTTGGACACACCTTCTCATTCAATGCGTTTTCTTTATTTTCATGACTATTTACATTGTAGATTCTCACTGAAGGCATCAAAACTATGAATGAACACGTGGAGTTATGTACTTAACAAAAAAAGGTGAAATAACTGAAAACATGTTTTATATTCTAGTTTCTTCAAAATAGCCACCCTTTGCTCTGATTACTGCTTTGCACACTCTTGGCATTCTCTCCATGAGCTTCAAGAGGTAGTCACCTGAAATGGTTTTCCAACAGTCTTGAAGGAGTTCCCAGAGGTGTTTAGCACTTGTTGGCCCCTTTGCCTTCACTCTGCGGTCCAGCTCACCCCAAACCATCTCGATTGGGTTCAGGTCCGGTGACTGTGGAGGCCAGGTCATCTGCCGCAGCACTCCATCACTCTCCTTCTTGGTCAAATAGCCCTTACACAGCCTGGAGGTGTGTTTGGGGTCATTGTCCTGTTGAAAAATAAATGATCGTCCAACTAAACGCAAACCGGATGGGATGGCATGTCGCTGCAGGATGCTGTGGTAGCCATGCTGGTTCAGTGTGCCTTCAATTTTGAATAAATCCCCAACAGTGTCACCAGCAAAACACCCCCACACCATCACACCTCCTCCTCCATGCTTCACAGTGGGAACCAGGCATGTGGAATCCATCCGTTCACCTTTTCTGCGTCTCACAAAGACACGGCGGTTGGAACCAAAGATCTCAAATTTGGACTCATCAGACCAAAGCACAGATTTCCACTGGTCTAATGTCCATTCCTTGTGTTTCTTGGCCCAAACAAATCTCTTCTGCTTGTTGCCTCTCCTTAGCAGTGGTTTCCTAGCAGCTATTTGACCATGAAGGCCTGATTGGCGCAGTCTCCTCTTAACAGTTGTTCTAGAGATGGGTCTGCTGCTAGAACTCTGTGTGGCATTCATCTGGTCTCTGATCTGAGCTGCTGTTAACTTGCGATTTCTGAGGCTGGTGACTCGGATGAACTTATCCTCAGAAGCAGAGGTGACTCTTGGTCTTCCTTTCCTGGGTCGGTCCTCATGTGTGCCAGTTTCGTTGTAGCGCTTGATGGTTTTTGCGACTCCACTTGGGGACACATTTAAAGTTTTTGCAATTTTCCGGACTGACTGACCTTCATTTCTTAAAGTAATGATGGCCACTCGTTTTTCTTTAGTTAGCTGATTGGTTCTTGCCATAATATGAATTTTAACAGTTGTCCAATAGGGCTGTCGGCTGTGTATTAACCTGACTTCTGCACAACACAACTGATGGTCCCAACCCCATTGATAAAGCAAGAAATTCCACTAATTAACCCTGATAAGGCACACCTGTGAAGTGGAAACCATTTCAGGTGACTACCTCTTGAAGCTCATGGAGAGAATGCCAAGAGTGTGCAAAGCAGTAATCAGAGCAAAGGGTGGCTATTTTGAAGAAACTAGAATATAAAACATGTTTTCAGTTATTTCACCTTTTTTTGTTAAGTACATAACTCCACATGTGTTCATTCATAGTTTTGATGCCTTCAGTGAGAATCTACAATGTAAATAGTCATGAAAATAAAGAAAACGCATTGAATGAGAAGGTGTGTCCAAACTTTTGGCCTGTACTGTATATATATATATATAGATCCCAGGGGACATTTTTTGTATTTGGGAGCTGTTTGAATGTGTAATTTGTGATATTATTTTGCTGCAATTCTATGTTCTTATCTTTATAATACTTTTGTTTTACTCATTTGTCACATCGTCAAGAATATTGTTATCGCAAAAATACCCTGAAATATTGTGACATTAACTATGGGCCATATCACCCACCCATACACATGAGTGAGTTAAAAACAGTTAGCTCTGTTAGCCGCTAGCAGTGTTGCCAATTAAAGTAGCAAGCACTAGCTCCAAAAGTCACTAAAAGTAGCCAGATGATGTCTTAGGCTTATTTGCATAGTCCATGGTGACATCATCGCGCATTAATGTAACATTAAAACTTTGCTGAATTACATCCAATCGAAAAACCCTCAACTAAACATTTGAATGGCATGAGAGCTATGGCTGCTTATTCTATAGTGCACCACATTCTCATGCTTCCAATCCAGACAGCGTCCTTAGACTGTCACTACTCCCATGGCGTGCTGTGTCTCCTCTCCTCCTGCCTGTCCAACACCTACTGCACTGTGTAAGAGGAGACAGGGGGAGAGCTGTGGACTGCCATTACTCTGAGCAGCATGCATGGGAATGAATTACAAAATATTTAGGGCTGCCCCCAAATCTTCCTAGTCGACCAATAGTCATCATTCAGGGCCATTAGTCGACTAGTCGCCCGCATGTTTATGATATTAATCTAATTATTAAATGATATATTTTGGGCGGGGCAACACAATGGTTTGAGTTGAAGGTGTGAGAAAGAATAGTATCAGTAACATTGTTAACACTGTGCTACATTACAGAGAAATACAAAACCGTACTAATGAACCTTCATTAATATAGGGCTATATTTTATCTACAAGTGCACGTCACACACTGAGCGAGCCGCCTGTTAATGACGCTGTGGGCTAATGGGCATGTAGCTACTTCCATGTTTCAGATGATACGTCACGTTTGTAGTCGACCAATGAAGATGAGTTTACATATCACCTTGGGTTCGTCCTTCACCTTCTCAAAATGATCCCACACTTTGGATTTCCTGCCCGACATGTTAATGCTAATAGAGTTTCACATTTGATTGTTTGTTTTTTTCTGTGACTAAGCGACCAATGAAAGCGTGCCAACTAATGACCTTTCTGGTTGGCTAACGTTTGGTCGACTATTAGGGGGCAGCTCTAAAAATATTTCTCTCTTTCTCCGTGATGGTCTGATTAAGCCGCTAATTTTGTTGCTATTTGCTTTTTAGAAATTAAGTCACTAAGAGGGCGTATGTGTGTTTTTGTGTGTGTGTGTGTGTGTGTGTGTGTGTGTGTGTGTGTGTGTGTGTGTAGGTGCTGGGCCCTGGCTTTGTTTGGAGGAAACAGTGAGACCGGCTTTGACCAAAACACCACCTACTCTATCTTCTCCATCTCCATCACCCTCACTGATGAAGGTTTCCAAAACTTCTACGAGGTAAAGAAAATCTTTCGCTTTTTTGTTTCCAACTCTTCTTCTGGTCATTATTCTTTCATCCTCTGCATACATGGAGACTCTGTGACTCTGGCCTGAGCAGAGGAAGTCGGGCAAAAACAAGCACCATCCAAGTCATTTGTTGTCAGATCACAGAGAATCATTCATCATCCATTCAGCAGAGACTGGTGGACGTGTGCGTTAGATGTGCCCTGCACGGACCCAGCTGGCCCGTTTGTCTTGTTTGTCATGGACTTCAAGGAAGCAGTGTTATCAGTTGCTATGACAATGCGTAAAACAGGGAGGCAGTTGGCGATTGTTCAACAGGAGTACTGTTTTCTAATAATTAATGAAAAAAAACAAACATTTCCATCAACAAACTTGCATTGATAACTGTATAAATGCTACAGCAGCCTTGAGGATGCTGTTTATTGTGATCAAGAGCTCTTCATCACCCACTCTTTCATTCAGAGAGGATGAACCTGCAGTTGTCTGGGTCACAGCGAGCTACTTTACTGAATAATATTTCTGAGTAGTTTTTTCTGAAGCACTCCAAAGGAATAGTTTTGATTTGCTTTCCTGCCAAGAGTTGGAGGAGAACGTTGACACCACTCACATGTCTTTACAATTACAGTTCCTACTGCACACTCTGTGACATGCACCCATTGCATCTGTAGCAATTATTACAGCATGCATGTCTTCCTGTATTCTCCTCTGACTGACTGAGAAGTGTTGTACACAGTCAGTAATTATTACTCTTAATTCACAAAGGTGGAGGTGACATTTTCACTTACATGTTAGAATCTCTAAAAGGGGAATAAAGGTGAATAAAGACACACATTACTTTCACATTTACTATTTAAATGAAGACACCTTTTTGAAATGATTGTCGTAGCTTGTTCTAATGACTGTAATCAAATCAAAACTGGCAGCCTCGGCTTGAATGTTCACGTTTATAAAGCTTAACAGTAGCTTTCACTTAACCTTCATCATTAATGGAGGAAAAGAGGAATTTTATAGTAATTATACCGACAAATTGAATGTGGTTATGATTCATTAAAGTGGAAGGACATTGAAGGGGACCTATTATGCTCATTTTCAGGGTCATGCTTGTATTTAGGGATTCTACTAGAACATGTTTACATGCTTCAGTGTTCATAAAAACATATTCCTCATACTGTCTGTGCTGCGATACCTGTGTTCACCCTCTGCCTGAAACGCTCTGTTTTAGCGCCTGTCTCTTTAAGCCCTCTCTGGAAAAGCCTAATCAGCTCTGATTGGTCTGCGTGTCGGGTTCTTACGCATCTGGGTCAAGGCAAAGGTGCTATATAACAAAAGATAACACATTACAAGCTGCGCCAGTGGTATGAAATGGTATACACTGCTGGTCTCCTTAGTGGGTGTGGTCTCCTCTTCCCTCACATCCCCCCACTTCATTTTGAAGTGTTGTAAATGTTGTGTGGATGAAGGAAAGTAGGGGGGGCTGGAGCCTATCCCAGCTGACACTGGGCGAGAGGCAGGGTACACCCTGGACAGGTCACCAGACTATCACAGGGCTGACACATATAGACAGACAACCATTCACTCACATTCACACCTACGGACAATTTAGAGTCACCAGTTAACCTACAGTACAGGCCAAAAGTTTGGACACACCTTCTCATTCAATGCGTTTTCTTTATTTTCATGACTATTTACATTGTAGATTCTCACTGAAGGCATCAAAACTATGAATGAACACATGTGGAGTTATGTACTTAACAAAAAAAGGTGAAATAACTGAAAACATGTTTTATATTCTAGTTTCTTCAAAATAGCCACCCTTTGCTCTGATTACTGCTTTGCACACTCTTGGCATTCTCTCCATGAGCTTCAAGAGGTAGTCACCTGAAATGGTTTACACTTCACAGGTGTGCCTTATCAGGGTTAATTAGTGGAATTTCTTGCTTTATCAATGGGGTTGGGACCATCAGTTGTGTTGTGCAGAAGTCAGGTTAATACACAGCCGACAGCCCTATTGGACAACTGTTAAAATTCATATTATGGCAAGAACCAATCAGCTAACTAAAGAAAAACGAGTGGCCATCATAACTTTAAGAAATGAAGGTCAGTCAGTCCGGAAAATTGCAAAAACTTTAAATGTGTCCCCAAGTGGAGTCGCAAAAACCATCAAGCGCTACAACGAAACTGGCACACATGAGGACCGACCCAGGAAAGGAAGACCAAGAGTCACCTCTGCTTCTGAGGATAAGTTCATCCGAGTCACCAGCCTCAGAAATCGCAAGTTAACAGCAGCTCAGATCAGAGACCAGATGAATGCCACACAGAGTTCTAGCAGCAGACCCATCTCTAGAACAACTGTTAAGAGGAGACTGCGCCAATCAGGCCTTCATGGTCAAATAGCTGCTAGGAAACCACTGCTAAGGAGAGGCAACAAGCAGAAGAGATTTGTTTGGGCCAAGAAACACAAGGAATGGACATTAGACCAGTGGAAATCTGTGCTTTGGTCTGATGAGTCCAAATTTGAGATCTTTGGTTCCAACCGCCGTGTCTTTGTGAGACGCAGAAAAGGTGAACGGATGGATTCCACATGCCTGGTTCCCACTGTGAAGCATGGAGGAGGAGGTGTGATGGTGTGGGGGTGTTTTGCTGGTGACACTGTTGGGGATTTATTCAAAATTGAAGGCACACTGAACCAGCATGGCTACCACAGCATCCTGCAGCGACATGCCATCCCATCCGGTTTGCGTTTAGTTGGACGATCATTTATTTTTCAACAGGACAATGACCCCAAACACACCTCCAGGCTGTGTAAGGGCTATTTGACCAAGAAGGAGAGTGATGGAGTGCTGCGGCACATGACCTGGCCTCCACAGTCACCGGACCTGAACCCAGTCGAGATGGTTTGGGGTGAGCTGGACCGCAGAGTGAAGGCAAAGGGGCCAACAAGTGCTAAACACCTCTGGGAACTCCTTCAAGACTGTTGGAAAACCATTTCAGGTGACTACCTCTTGAAGCTCATGGAGAGAATGCCAAGAGTGTGCAAAGCAGTAATCAGAGCAAAGGGTGGCTATTTTGAAGAAACTAGAATATAAAACATGTTTTCAGTTATTTCACCTTTTTTTGTTAAGTACATAACTCCACATGTGTTCATTCATAGTTTTGATGCCTTCAGTGAGAATCTACAATGTAAATAGTCATGAAAATAAAGAAAACGCATTGAATGAGAAGGTGTGTCCAAACTTTTGGCCTGTACTGTACATGTCTTTGGACTGTGGGAGGAAGCTGGAGTACCCAGAGAAAACCCACACTGACACAGGGAGAACATGCAAACTCTGCAAAGAAGGGCTCCCCCACCCTGGGTTCGCACCAGGAACCCTCCTGCTGTGAGGCGACAATGCTAACCAATATATAATACAACAATATGTACAGTACAGATTTAATCTTTGCTTCTTGTTTTGTCGCTTGTTTTTATCCTAATATCTGATATCAACCCGAGTACAAGATCATATCAGTCTAATAGCATTCTCTTTTCCTCCTCCAAAAACAGTTAAATAATAACAATAATACTATAATAACACAACAAAACACAGTTTTATTTTATGTTTTAACTTTTAACTTGTAGTTTTCACGTGTTAGTCTATTTAAATTTCTGTTTATCCAGTTAAAAGGCTACATCAGCAGCACTGTAGTGAAATTAGACCAATGGTTCAGTACTAATAAGAGACTTTGTTGCCAGATCTCGGGAGAGCGTGTTGCTGAGACAGAGACATGTCTCGAACAAAATAATTTGTCTCCTGATTCGTCTCTCTGAAAAATGTCATTTTAGTGTTAACTATTCTGAAAATATTTGGCTTGTGTTATCTGGGTCCAGTATTAACTTTGGTGACTATAGCCCTGTTTCCACCGAGCAGTATGGTTCAGTTCATTTCGAATACACATTTTTTCCGTTTCCACTGTGAAAAGTTGTGGATGGTACCAATGGAACTGTTCTGTACAGTCCCCATTTTTGGTCCCCCCTCTGTTGGGGTACCTAGCACACACATCTGGTACTAAAACGTGGAGCTGTGAACACTATAGTCTGATTGGTCAATAGAGGACGGTCACTCTGCTCAGGGCTGAGTTGTGGCTGGTTTTGAGGCTCATGTAACCTCTGTTCATATAGTGGAGAGGTTTACATATATATTAATATACTGTAACTAAAAAATGAAAGATGTTTTGCTGCCTCCAGCAGCAGCTGTAGCTGTAGAAAAATAATTCATTGGGCCAAAGGAATTAGACCAAGGACCACTGCCAGTCTCCTAAAGGGGCGGGGCAGTGGTGAAACCAACATTAACAGATTCAGGAAATGAATCTCAAGTGAGCCGTCTGGGTTTATCGATGATGTCCGTTCAAGGCTATAAAATGAACACTGACACATGCTCTCTGACCCCAGTGGAGATATGGGGCCTTACAGATGTGCAGTGTAACTGGAGCTGTGATGTTGGACGGCGCTAGAAATGAAGGGATGGTGTCCCCTCGGGTGCTCTTTGGGTGTGCTGCTAAGAATCTTTCAGTTATTGCAGAATGTAATTCTCACCCATATCTTTACCTTTCTATATAAAATATATTCAGACTCAAGGCCGACTGTGGACGCCTCAGTGAAGCGAATCAAACATCCCATGCTCTATGATAGTGCAGCAGCTATTGAGGCTTTCGGCATGTGCAGAACAGATTTTACTGTGCATGTGTTGTACCCCAACGATACGACGCTGTGACTTCTCTTTTTAACCTCCTTGATCTCGGTGTCTCTGCACGCTGTTGGAAGAAGTTTGCCTTCAGGGCTATCTGCTAAAAAGCCTTCTCTCGGTTAGGTTTAGGAAAAAAATAAATCATGGTTTGGGTTAAAATGAATAGATCTCTACCAGAATAAAGCACAGTGATGTTGACAGGTTTAGTGCAGCGAGTCCCCGGGACCCACAGGTGGTCATTTGAGTGGATTCCCAATAAAATGTGTGTTAACTGACAAACTGTAGTGTTAAACTTGTGGTTGTAATTATGGTTGTGTATATGTATCTGAATATACAGGTGCATCTCAAAACATTAGAATATCATGGAAAAGTATATTTTTCCCATTATTTTTTATTAAAAAAGTGAAACTTTTTTACATTCTAGATTCATTAAATAGAAAGTGAAATATTTCTAGTCTTTTTTTTTTCCAATTTCAATGATTACGGCTTACAGCTCATGAAAATAGAAAATCCAGTATCTCAAAATATTAGAATATGACATAAGACCAGTCAAAAAAATAATTTATAATACAGAAATGTCGACCTTCTGAAAAGTATGTTCATTAATGCACTCAATACTTGGTCGAGGCTCCTTTTGCACGAATTGCTGCATCAATGTGGCGTGGCATGGAGGCCATCAGCCTGTGGCATTGCTGAGGTGTTATGGAAGCCCAGGTTGCTTCACTAGCGACCTTCAGCTTGTCTGTATTGTTGGGTCTGGTGCCTCTCATCTTCCTCTTGACAATACGCCATAGATTCTCTATGGGGTTCAGGTCAGGCGAGTTGGCTGGCCAATCAAGTGCAGTAATAACATGGCCAGCAAACCAGTTACTGGTAGTTTTGGCACTGTAGGCAGGTGCCAAGTCCTGCTGGAAAAGGAAATCAGCATCTCCATAAAGCTTGTCAGCAGACAGAAGCATGAAGTGCTCTAAGAGCTCCTGGTAGACGGCTGCGTTGACTTTGGACTTGATAAAACACGGTGGACCAACTAGCAGATGACATGGCACCACAAATCATCACTGACTGTGGAAACTTTACACTGGACTTTAAGCAAGTTGGATTCTGTGCCTCTCCACTCGCCCTCCAGACTCTGGGGCTTTAATTTCTAAATGAAATGCAAAATTTACTTTCATCATCCGTAGTAAGATCCTACATTGGTGAATCTTACTATATAATGAAGAAAACTCTGTCTGTGTGTTCCACATTTTTCTCCTCACTGACTTGGTCAATCCATGTGAAATTTGGCACAGTGGTAGAGGGTCATGGGAGGATGCGAATGAAGCAATACTACATCAATTGGCCAAAGGGGGGCGCTATAGCAACCGATTGAAATTGCAAACTTTGAATGTGCATATCTCATGCCCCGTATGTCGTAGAGACATGAAACTTTGCACAGAGATGCCTCTCCTCATGAGGAACAAATTTGCCTCAAGAACCCATAACTTCCGGTTATATAGATTTTCCGCCATTTTGAATTTTTTGAAGAACAGTTAAAATCGATCTCTTCCTAGGAAGTTTGACCGATCTGCATGAAACTGGGTGAAAATAATCTAGGGACCAATATCTAAAGTTCCCTCTTGGCAAAAGTTGGAAAACTTACTAAAACTGAGCTTCTATAAGGCAATGACTTTAACTATCTGTCTTTCAATGTGCTACCTCAACTACTAATGTACAGTTTTAGCCCACTAACTATCCCACTATTGGCAATGGTACTACTGTACTTTCAATAAAGCAATCATACTATCAAATTCACAAAAACTCTGTCTGAATACATTGCTCTTCTTAATGGGTTCAGTTGACTATTTAATCTGCAATTTCCTATGACCTGTATCCCAAACACACACCATGTGAAACTGTACGTGGGCAACTGTGCACTCAATGGGTATGGACTAGTTCAGGTATATTTTACGAACCTAAAAATAAAAGGTAATGGTCTGCTTGCGATTCTCGGTGACTTCTGTGCTGCCCTGTTACCTTTTCCAGGAAATGGCAGCACACGGAGCTTCAGACAGCCGGGAATACGAGCAGGCAGGCGGGTGATTGATTGACTGATTGACTAATTTCGCTTTATTGTCAAAAAAAAGTGTCCCAGGATGTCAGTTGTTTCACATAAATACAAAAATACAAAGAGCATTTAACCAAACAACAAAATCATACACAAAAGCTGCTAATCACCACAGACATAACACAAAAAGGCTGCAGTGCAGAATTTCACCCGTTACCTATTACACTCAGTGTTTGACCCAGGCTTCTTAGAAGCCACACTCTGATTTAGTAGGTTGACAGACTGAAGAACAAATGAGTTCCTCAACCTGTTCAATCGAGCCTGTGGGACTCTAAATCTTCTGTGTGATGGCAAATGTGACGGGCGGGCAGGTGTCTGTGCAGAGCACCGGAACAAAAACACCGACACATCACTGACAGTGTGACAATAACATCCCAAACACCCGTTTCATGCTCAGTGGTTTCTGTGACATGAGAAATACTTTTGAAATAAGTAAAGTCATGTGAAGCCGCTGTTTTTAAATAGATATGTGCTTCACAATGTCACATTATCTGGGAAAATAATAGAGTATGCACTGAGAGTACATTTACCTTTCAGATTTGAATGCATCAGGGACGCAGGATGCAACGACACTGAAGGCAGACGTCTCACATGTGCTCCCTGCATTGTCACTACAGCCGAGGAGTGACTGTAACAGAGAGTAACGGCACTTTGTACCATGAAAAATCACCAATATAAGCTTGCAAACACAACCGGACATGTTCCAGCAGGAAAATAATCCAATATCATGGAGAAATAAACATCAGCAACCAACATTACATGTTTCCCTGACATTTGCGTGTAGCTACATGTTGCAGCATATAGGATGTAAACATTTGCAGTAGTGCGCCTGGAGCAGATGACCATATAAAGAAATAGGTCACGAGCAAATGTCGTCTTGTTGCAAAGGTAGAAAAAAATATAAACAGTATATTTAGAACGCTCTGAAGCCTCACAGGGATTATTTTTACATATATTAAACTCCTTATTTGAAACTTTAGCCTCTAGAGCTGCCCCCTGACTAAGACTTTTCCTCGTCGACCAGTGGTCGTCATTCAGGGCCATTAGTTGCCCACATGTTTATGATATTAATTTCAGTATTAAATGATATATTTTGGGCGGGGCAACGCAATGGTTTGAGTTGAAGGTGTGAGAAAGAATAGTATCAGTAACATTGTTAACACTGTGCTACATTACAGAGAAATACAAAACCGTACTAATGAACCTTCATTAATATAGGCCTATATTTTATCTACAAGTGCACGTCACACACTGAGCGAGCCGCCTGTTAATGACGCTGTGGGCTAATGGGCATGTAGCTACTTCCATGTTTCAGATGATACGTCATGTTTGTAGTCGACCAATGAAGATGAGTTTACATATCACCTTGGGTTCGTCCTTCACCTTCTCAAAATGATCCCACACTTTGGATTTCCTGCCCGACATGTTATTAACTAGCCTGTGGAATAACCGCAGGTACCAGCCCTGGAAATTAGGGGCCGAACACATGCAGCATCTTTAACCGCCTGGAAAACATGAGGTCGGGCGCTGGGTGCTACTCTTGTGCCTTTTTTGTGCCAGCTTTCAAGAGCGTGGCGTTGTGTAGGCATGTAGGCCTGTCGTCTGTGGGCCAGATGTAAAGCTCTGGGTAGCCCTGCACTAACATGATCAACTTTTCCGTATTTATCAGACTGAATATTTACAGAAGAAGGGAAAGATATTTGTCGGCTGTGATTGGTTTGTAACGTGACTCCTGTCTGACTGCTGAGCGTGGCCACTTCCTGTGTCTGTCCTTTCAAATTAAATTCCAAAATGCTCCAGTCATATAGGTTGATTTATTTTGACATGGTGCAGCTCCTAATAGAGTTTCACTTTTTTTTTCTGAGACTAAGCGACCAATGAAATCTGCCAACTAATGACCCTTCTGGTCGACCATTAGAGGGCAGCCCTGTTGGCCACGACAGAAGATAAGGAAAAGCGATAGGTCCCCTTTAAAGTTATGACATCTAATTTGTGTGTGTCTTTCACAGGTGACCCACCTGGTGTTCCAGTACCTGAAGATGCTGCAGACGCTCGGACCCCAGCAAAGGCACTCTCTCACACACACACACACAGTCTCATTAAACACAACAGAGACGTACTTGTAAAAAGAAAACAACCCTTATACTCAAAGAAAACTTCAATATTTTGTCTTTTGGGTGTGTTGTAGCGCAGGAGCTAGTTAATACTGCATTATACTGGACAGGTTTATGTGCTGGGTGCATTTGTTTGTTTTCTCATTTATAAATTTATAGCATTTTTTGTTTTTGTTATGTTCCCTAATCTGTTTTAAGGAGCTCAGATGTTGTGACATCTGAGCTCCCGTCTGCGATGCATAAAGGTAATATTTCAGTCTGTTTGTTCGTGCATTCAGAATATATGAAGAGATTCAGAAGATTGAAGCCAACGAGTTTCACTATCAGGAGCAAGTAAGAATTCAGATATTTATGTGCTGCTGTATTTGATGCTTCTTCTTTTTTTTTGTTTTGTGTGGTGTTGTTTTTTCCACCAGTGAGAATGATTTCCTCTTTGTCAGATTGACCCTATAGAGTACGTGGAGGACATTTGTGAGAACATGCAGCTGTTCCCTAAAGAAGACTTCCTGACAGGAGATCAGTTGATGTTTGAGTTCAGCCCAGAAGTAAGTAGTTCAGTAGTTCGGGGAGTGAACCAGTTCAACGTTTTATTCTAAAATCCTATATTTCCTTTTTTTAGAGAAAGATGTTAATGAAACGGGTCACTCAAAAGTGGGAAAATATAGACATTTTCTCCCGTCTGATATGTTAATGATTTTTATAGCCAGCACCTTTTATGTGCCAGAAATATATTTTTCTAGAGTTGTTAGTGCTGTCTTTGATTGGTGGGTGTTGTTTTGCATCAAACGTTACAGTCTAATTGTGTCTTTGCATATTTTCTGTGATGACAGTAACTTTCTGTTCTGTTTTGCTGCCTCTTATTGTGATTGACAGCCAAAGTTGTTTTCACATAAACAAGTAATTGAGACCCAGCAAAAAAACAACAACTCTCCCCCTTTGCTGAAACTTTATTTTCTTGCGTGTGTGTGTGTGTGTGTGTGTGTGTGTGTGTAGGTGATCAGCGGAGCTTTGTCCCTCCTCACCCCTGAGAAAGCCAACCTGATGCTGTTGTCACCAGAACATGAGGGCCAGTGTCCCCTCAGGGAGAAGTGGTTTGGCACTCAATACAGCATGGAAGGTGTGTTTCTGTGTGTGTGTGCGTGTGTGTGCGTGTGTTTGTTTACTGTCAGTGTAACAGCTCCTTCCCACAATACAGGCATTCAGTGAATACATTGTCTTTTTCCCCTTGTGTGGTGATATTCAGCCTGATATACAATGCAGCCAGCCGGCAGCAGAAATGTCAGCATTTATCTCTGTCTTTTAGCAGGCGAACAATAGTGTTGGAATAGCATTAAAAAAAAAAAAAAAAAAGGAAAAAAAGTACAAAACCAATATTTCATTTTCGTCGGAATGACGTCTTCAGGTCACTCGATTCCAAACATGAATCTGAACTGCAGATATTTCTTGTGAGCTGATAGATGTATGCTCTTCACACAGACATTCGGCAGAAGTGGATGGAGCAGTGGACAGGAAACCTGGAGCTCAACAGTGAGCTCACACTTCCTGCTGAAAACAAGTTCATTGGTGGGTGAATAAACGAGTACTGTAACTGTCTCAGAATTATGTCAGTCGAATTGGATTTGGCCGTTCAGCTTGAATTTTCGACTGTTTGCTCCTTTTTCCCCCCCGGAAGTTTGAGTTTGACAGGGTTCGACGGGATGTTTAGTGTGGCGGAGACATTCACGGTTTATACGCTACAAGTTAGTGTGGGCCACCTATGCTAACGACAACTTAGATATCAAACAAAAGCCAGATACTGTATCGTACTAAGTTGCTGTGAGCTGTAAATTCACGATGACTTCTCTGCAAAAGGCAGAGGATAACGTTATCTTGGAGCCTGACCAGGCAAAGCCTCTCTTCCCCCAGCTGCCTCCATTTCACTTAGACCCACCTGGCTCTGGGTCTGCAGCTGCCTGTACAGAAAGGCAGCGTGAAAGTGGGGAGCGCTCACTCTGCAGTCACATCTCGGGAGCAATGTCCCCAGAACTACACTGACAAAAAAAAAAAAAGACTGCTTGACTTGAAGAATCTCAGTCGACTGAGGGGTTTCCAATTGATAAGTCAAATCTGAAATGAGTTCAGTAAGATGATCATGAACAAGACTTATTCCTTATTCCTATCGCAATTGATTGCGCTTTTTTTATCACAGGTTTAAAATGTCATAAATTTGCATTTCTAAGGTGTGTTTTGAAATCTATATTGACAAGGTGAAGCGATTCTTACCAGAGTGTTTTGATTGGGAATCAAATGAAGAAAAGAAGTGTCCTTTACTGTCATGACTTTTAGATTGATTCCTTTAAAATCAGTGCTGCACTAGTACAACAGTGCTGTTCCAAGAGACAGAACAGCAGCACGCAATTAACACACTGAGACCGATTTACTGTAGACCCATTTTTGTCCTTTTTTGGGGGGGAGAAGGGATCTTTTTGGGGAGATAGCAGGTGAACAGTATATGCCACGTAGAAGTGGTTTCTATTACTTGAAAGCTGGAAACCTGAGGAATAATTTAAGATGCAGCTCAGCACCGTGATTTATTTTCTAGTCATAATCCATAACAAACGTTGCCAGCAAAAACGTGCAGAATTTGTGCCCAAAACTGTCTGGGACTAACATAAAGTGGACATGTCGGTAAAGGGGAGACTCATGAATACCCACAGAACCCATTTTTATTCAGATATCTTGAGTTGAGAGGTCAAGGGACTCTGTGAAAATGGCCATGCTCTTTTTCCTCATCAAATTTTGTCCCAAATTTGGAGTGTTATTTAGCGTCCTTCCTGAGAAGCTAGCATAACATGGATTCCTTAGATCTTTTAGTTTCATATGATAGCAGTATCGTTACTCTGGCTTTAAACCTTAGCCGTCTATAGTGTCTGAAGCCCGGTGGTGGCGAGAGTAGCAGCACATAATTAACGTGATTATTAACGTGTTATGTTCAGACCTTAATCACATCCCAATGAATGCTTTAACACTTAAAGCCCTGGTGATTATGTCGCACAAAGCTGATAGGTGAGTGGTTTATTAACATGATGTAGTAGAGTTTCATACGTAATGGATTCAGTGTGGACAGAGAGCGTCCAATGTAACGTGATGCAGCGAGATAGTCATGCAATTGCTGTTAGGGCACGGTCTTGAGGTGGCGCAGTGCGATGCAGTCTCCTGGTAGTGTATTAAATGCAAGCTATTGAAAATGACAGTATTTGAATGAAATGATTAAAATATAAACATGCATTTCATGTCATGTTCAGGGGCCGCACAAAATGTTTCTGAGGGCCGCCACTGGCCCATGGGCCGCGCTTTGAGCATCAATATTCTTACCAGACACATTTAGGTTTTTTTCCATTTTGAACTCGTCATCTCTTGAGGCAGTTTATCAGACTTAACGCAGCTCCCTCAGGAGCCACACAAGGCTTTATACAACTTCTTTCCACGTATGCAGTAGTACTCCCCAAGACCTGTAAACAGACTTTGATGTGTAAAATTGGCACACACCCCCTTTTGAAATAATAATCACCAGAGATGAAGGTGACATGGTTTTCCTGCTGTGTAGTGTATCATTGCTTATCACAGAACCAGCTCCTGTAATGTGCCAGTGGCTAAAATCCCGTCCGGAACAAAACCTGTATTATATTAATCCTGTCTGAATGGGGCTTAGACAACACTGTGTTCAAACCTTGATAAGGATGCATTTTCGTGCTCAATAAATTGATGTGCAGGAGTCAAAGTTCACCATGTCCAACTTTAAAACGCCACAAATCCTTCACCATCACTCTGACATGTCATGCAAATCCAGCAGCCTCTGCAGATGGCATTGATTGGGATAAATGGAGTACATTAATTAAAGGTCAAGATTTTAACTCCCAACAAGACACCTCTGGTCCAGTCCTGACCAAGCTTTCAGGGGCGACGCGTTTTTGGCATTGTGCTTATACATTTTGGACGGCCACAGCAGCACATTGCCAATTCTGATAAAAATGTGGAAGAATGATGCATCTTCACTTATTGGCCCAAGGGTTACTGAATCATTTATTGGGAGGGGGGGGAGTTTTTTGACAACCAGCTGCATGTTTGTCCCAAACTGGACATATTGATTTGCTGAAACTCACACATTATTTATGAGATTGCACCAAGTGGAATTATGATGTTTTATTCTTTATGTGCATTTGTTCAGCCACTGACTTCACCCTGAAGCCGTCTGACTGCCCAGACACTGAGTTTCCTGTCCGGATAGCCGACAGCGACAGGGGCTGCCTGTGGTACAGGATGGACAACAAATTCAAAATCCCTAAAGGTAAAATGTGTGTTTGCCTGTGCCTTGTGCATCATTTAGCACCCAGAGATGTTTCCACAAAGACTTTTGATATCATTAGAGAGGTGTTGACACTCGTTTGTCCTTTTTTCCTGCTGCAGCCTACATCAGATTTCATCTAATCTCTCCTGTAATCCAGCAATCTGCTAAGAAGTAAGTTCAGGCTCAAATATGGCCCTGTGAAAATAGTGTTTGTTTTGTTAGCTGTAGCACTAATTAACATCTCTTTCTTTTCTGCCATCGTTTGTTCTCTCTCCTCCTCCAAATATATCTTCTTGGCCTTTTCATTGCTTCAATCCTCCTTTATACTTCCCTATTACCTCATCTCCTGTCCTTCCCTTCTTCTGCTACTTCTTTTACCTTGCTTTAATCCTTTTTCACTCCTTCCTCCATCCCTACCTCTCACTCCCATCCCCCTCCTTCCCCTGCATCTCAACCTTCTTACCTCCTCTCCTCTACCTTTCCCTTCCTTGCTTTATTTCTCTGCCCTCTCTTTTTTCTTTACTTCTTATTCCCTACCTTCCTCTCCATCTTTTCTCACTCTGTCCACCTTTACCCCCGTCTGCCCTTTCCTCCAGCATTGTCTTGTTTGACCTGCTGGTCAACATCCTTGGCCACAACCTCGCTGAGCCGGCCTATGAAGCCGAAGTGGCCCAGCTGGAGTATAAACTGGTGGCCGGTGAACACGGCCTGGTCATCAAGGTTAAAGGATTTAACCACAAACTGCCTGTGAGTGAATGCCTCTCGAGAACCCCCGCACACAAACAGAAACAGATACGATTACATGCATTAAACCACACACTGATTAATAACAGTCTCAGTTTCACTTAACATTATGCGATAAATATACTGTTTCACAGTTGTACATATTCTTGTATGCACCAGATGACTCACTATGTATAATATAAATCCTTATTTTCTCATTTGCTCCACAGCCCATACAGACTCTTCTTCCTGTGTGATTGTTGGTTACATGTATATAATTTATTTCAGATAGCTAAAGTAGGTGTTTGATACCATTTCCTAATGAGGTATGAGCACTATTTGTCTGTAAGTGGTAATAACACCTTTATCAATGGTAATAAATCATTCATTAAAGCTACAGTTGGAAACTTTTACTAAATTATTAAAAAGTTTTGTCATCTGACATCAGTACAGGAGACAGATAATCTATGTACGAAAGCACATTCCTCGTAGTGCTCCTCAGGGCATTTTTAGGAATCCATTGCAGTTAAAAGAAAGCAACCAATGAGAGCCAAGGAGTCTCTAAAGCAGCTGTCAATCATATATAAAGGTGGTCAAAAAGCAACACAGTCTCGCTCGGAAGTGACTTGCGGCATCAGGCACAGATGAAAAAAGCTGTCCTTCAGCGTCAGCATGATACACGGTCAATCGCCATTATAGTTTAATGGCGCCCGGTGGCGTCAGGGGGAAATGTGGCAAGACAAGAAAGAAAGTCAAAGCAGCGAAAGTCCAAGTGGTGGTAGATGAGTCCAACAAACAACGATTTCACCCGGGAGAGCGGTGTTCATGTCCCGTAAGATTCTAAAGCCAAACCATGTCCTTTTTTCCTAAACCTAACCACGTGTTTTTGTTGTTGAAGGAAAAAAACGTCAATTCGAGTTGTTGTACTGCCGTAGTATGTTTATTTTGAAAGAGAATGTATGTAAACAGTAAATTTCCTGTGAAAACAGAAGTGTACCTAGAAAGAAGACAGTGCATGTAACTGGCAGAACTTGACATAACGCAGAGCGTCAACAACCAACACACCCAGGGTACCTTGCACGTCCTATTTGAATGTGAAAAGTCCATGACCAAATGCCAATATGTGACGAGGTAGGAGTGAGAATGTGTTGAAAAAAGCCACAATATCCTGGATACGTGGATCGCTGCAGTATCAAGTTCCCGCCATCTGACCAATCGTGAGCAGCACCATTGTTCACACAGCTGTTATTTATGATGTCAAACCCCATTTTTTTACATTAAATAACCAACTACACCTGATCAGAAAAACAAACAGCGGCATTAGAAGTACTACCTAAAGTGACAGAAACCATTTCGGGAGGGAAAATTATTTGACATGTACTTTGATCTTTTAGTTTGCCCCATGTCCAGTCTGCCCACATGGAGGGGGTAGGATTTATGACTTATACTGCAACCAGCCACCAGGGGGAGATGTTTCGGCTTCACTTTTGTGGAGCTGACATGTCGCCCATCTATATACAGTCTGTGGGTCAAACTATCAAACTAGGTAGTGCTGATCAAATATGAATCAATTTTCTGTGTCTGCATTGCCCATTTGTCACCTCAGATGTTTTCAGAGACAAATTTTAGTGTACTATTAAGCTGTAAAATGAGAAAGTTTGTAACCGGGCCACCACGTTGGAAACAGCCAAAATGAAACAAAGCACAGCCCACCAGCAAGACTGACTTTTTCATTTCTGTCAGGACCAGTTAAGTCAAAGAAAACTTTATTTCCATTTGCAGTATTATATTTGGCGGTATGGCTCTGTTCTGGGATCTCTCTGCTTTTCCTTGGTCTACGCAGAAAGCCTCTTCCACGTGTCTACATGGAAAGCCTACGGCAGATAGGGTACACCTCCCTGCCCTTCCATGCGCCTCGTGAAAAGCCTTATGGCAGAGAGAGCACTCCTCCCTGCTCTTCCATGCACTTATGTGGAAAGCCTTAAGGCAGAAGAGAGAGAGCACACCTCTGCCCTTCCACGTGTAAAAGAGGAAAGCCTGAGGCAGAGAGAGAGCACACCTCCCTGCCCTTCCATGCACTTATGTGGAAAGCCTTAAGACAGAAGAGAGAGAGAGCACACCTCTGTACCCTTCCACATGTAAATGAGGAAAGCCTGAGGCAGAGAGAGCAAACCTCCCTGTCCTTCCATGCACGTATGTGGAAAGCCTTAAGGCAGAAGAGAGAGAGCATGCCTCTCTGTCCTTCCACGTGTAAATGAGGAAAGCGTGAGACAGAGAGAGCAAAGACCCCTGGGAACAGAACAGAGCCAGCATCAATAACTTTGTGACCTGATCATCATATTGGAAAAAGTTGTGCTGAAACGAAGTACCGCCTACCAGCCAGACTAACTTTCTCATTTTATAGCTAAACGGTACACTAAAATATGTTTCTGAAAACATTTAAGGTGACAAATAGGCAACGTAGTAACGAAATCTTGATTCATATTTGATCAGCGCTGTCTAGTTTGACAGTTGGTGCACGACCAGTGATTGACATGATTGACAGCTGTGTTAGAGACTCCTCAGCTCTGATTGGTTGTTTTTCTTTAGCAGTGGTGGATTTTGCAAATTCCATTACAGGCCGCATGACGAGGAGGAATATGATTCTTTTCACAGATTATTAGTCTCATGTCCTACTGTCAGGATGTAGTGAGAGCTTCATTACATATGACAAAGTTATAGAAGTTACCTACTGTAGCTTTAAAGCTTTATAAATCATCATAATAGACACAGACCATCATAATTTGCCCTTAATAAGAAATATTGGACATTTTGGGTGATATTTGTCACACCCTGGCAACCAAATAGTTGGTCTTATTATTGGCTTTACAGGGATCAATAAATCATTAAAGGTAGGGTTCCACATTTTTGGAAATACACTTATTTACTTCCTTTCTGAGAGTTCAATGAGAAGATTGATACCACTCTGTGTCTTCAGACCCGCATCAGTCTCCTCATTTAAGTCTTGGCAGGAAAGCTCTGAGCATATTTCCAAAAATGTCAAACTACTCCTGAAATGATTTATACACAATTACTCCTGCGGCTTAATTTTGAAGCTACTTTTTAACAGACAGACGGCATGCACACATAAATGTGTTTGTCATCATGCATGTTAATGATAGCGATTCTTCATCCTGTCTGTCTGTCTGTCTCTCCGTGTCTCTCCTCAGCTGCTGTTCCACCTGATCATTGACCACCTGGCTGATTTCTCTGCCTCCCCTGATGTCTTCAGCATGTTCACAGAGCAGCTCAAGAAAACGTACTTCAACATCCTCATTAAACCCGAGAAACTCGGCAAGTGAGTTGTTTACCTTCTGTCTCCTGACATTTCCAGCTCGCTGTCGGACTCATCTTCAAGTCTATGATGCCTTCTAGTGGTGAAATGTGTGACAGCCCTGAAAGGGAAAAACCTCCTGCTCTTGTTGTCCTCCTTTCACCTCTCTGTGTATCTCCCTCCCTCCTCCCTCTCCTCTTTCTCAGGGATGTGCGTTTGCTGATCTTGGAGCACTCCCGCTGGTCCATGGTGGAGAAGTGTCAGGCTCTGACAGCCGGTCTGACCAGCGATGAACTCATGGACTTCAGCCGTAAATTCAGGGCTGAGCTGTACGCAGAGGGACTGGTGCAGGGCAACTTCAGCAGCTCTGTGAGTCGACGGCAGGCGGCATGCAGACATGACGTTTAATTAACAATAAAATTAACTGATTATATCTAATGGATGGGTTAATGTTCATGTCTGCACTTGCATCAATTGATTCTCAGTGTACTTGACGTTCTCGTGTCTCTGCTGCTCTCTTCTTCTCACTCTCTTGCTTCTACCTGTTCATTATCCTTTATTGTGTTTTCTCCACAGGAGTCAAAGCAGTTCCTGCAGTATGTCATAGAGTAAGTCAGCTATTACACTGAATGCACTCTCTAATGAGAACACCAATACTATACAATCAAATGGATTTGTTTGCCGCCGTGCACAATAATTTGCATTAGCTGTAGTTGTTGACTCCATGATTCCCCTTTCATCTTCTTCACTGGTGCTTTTTCCTTTATGCCCTCCTTTCAAACTGCCTTCCTCCTTGCTTCCTTTCCTCACCTATTTACCTATTTTGTTCTCTTTTTTTTTAATCCTCCTGTTTTGTCCTCTTTTGTTTTTCCTCTGGCAGAAAGTTGCAGTTCTCCAAGCTGCCAGCAGAGGTGCCGGTGATGTTCAGAGTCGTTGAGCTCCCTCTTAAGCACCACATCTGTAAGGTCAAATCACTCAATAAGGGAGACGCCAACTCTGAGGTCACTGTTTACTACCAGGTACAACCAACATCAGCATCTTTCATATCCTCCTGAGACCCTTTGTTCTCATATGAGGACATCACATTTTGGGTGTCCTGCACCTTATACTTCACTCTGCTTAACTTAGACCTGTTGTCCTCATCAAAACAAGATGGCAGCCATCTCTGCCAAGTCAGTCTGCAGCCGATCCCGACGCAAAAGTGGCCAAGATCCAAAACTTGATCACATTTTATGGTTGAAATTAAGTTTATGTATGATTAATAGTGTTTGTAGTTTGATATGGCAACAAATTTGACCAATTTTAGCATCAGTAACAAGCTATGACACTGTTAATTAGGAGGTACTCGTCTTAGGACATCGGGACTTTATTGTCGTCTCGTTTGAGGATGTTTGGACCAATTAGGTGTGACACTCTGTCTATACAGACAAAAGGACATTCCTTGCTTTGAGAAAGAAATAAGGACAATGCATCCAGATTTACAAAATGAGCAAATCACAAGACTTTTACATTTGTTGCATTATTTGTAATTTATTTTTGCACAACAACGTTCAGACATCTTTCATTTCTAAAAGTACTTCCTGTCCAAAGACAACGTTAAGTTATACTTATCAAGTTCTACTGATCCCAGACAGCTCGGAGACATTAAAAATGTATACCGAACAGAAGCTGAGGTCTCAGGAGGATATCTATAATATTCTTATTCAAATATATTCCAATATAATTCTTTTTATTTAGTGCACACTGTTTTCTTTCTCTCTTTGTTTAATGTAGTCTGGCCCCAAGCTCTTGAGGGAACACACACTGATGGAACTGTTGGTGGTACGTTTATTTTTCTGTATCAGTTTGCATTTTTATTGTGTCATCCCTCCACGCTGGACTAAATTGTTGTCTTCTTTCAGATGCACATGGAGGAACCCTGCTTTGACTTCCTCCGCACCAAAGAGACTCTCGGGTGAGTGTAGTTATGTTTTCAATAAAAATATTTACTTTTTAAAAAGGAATTTTATTAAATTTAGGCAAAATAGAACATGAACTAGTGTCTTCCTTTAAAAGGTTGAATGTATAGGATTGACAGACATGGAATATCCTCCTGAGACCCTGTTGCTTATATTGGTCAAATTTGTTGCCACATCAAACTACAAACATTATTGATGATAAATAAACAAGTTTCAACCATAAAATGTGATCAGGTTTTGGACCTTGTCCACTTTTGTGTCAGGGTTGGCTGCAGACTGACTTGGCCGAGATGGCTGCCATCTTGTTTTTACATGGATTACTGTACTGTGCTCTTACTGCCACTAGATGGCACAAAAAAGTGCCCATGAACGAGGACAACAGGTCTGAGTTAAGTAGGATGAAGTACAAGGTCATGTTCACCCAAAATGTGATGTCCTCATATGAGGACACAGGGTCTCAGGAGGATATAACATTCATAACTACATTTTCATTAGTTCATAATCACCTGAAAAAAAGAATTGTTGTTTTTGTAACTGTATATCTACATGCAGAGCGAGTCCTCCTCTAAGGAGTCTGCCCTGTTGTTCTACTGTAGTTAAGAGTCATTTCTCTACTGTTCATTTTGTTTGATGAATCACTTTTATTTGTCTTTTTAAAAAATATCCCTTTGCCATGTTTTAAATATTAGTATTTCTTGAATATTTATTTATGTATTATATTTTGTAAAGCACCTTGTGTTTTCACAGTGACTAATTTCTTTTAGGCAAATTCAACCCAAGGATACATTTAATTAATAAAGCACTAGCAGCTCTGATACAGGTGCCATTTCATGGTTGCTTGTTAGTGTGATAGCTTTCCTTCTTTATTAAAGCATTTTCTGAAACTTGTTTTTAGTTCTTTCTAAGTTATTTTATGTGCAAATTGAAGACAGGAATGGAAATGTATTTCTTTTCTTCTGTTTCGATGTCTCTGTCTCTGTCTCTAATTTGGATTGCTATTTTTGTGCTTCCCAGAAGAACAAACGTACTTATCATGTTCAGAAACTGTAGTAATGTTGAAGCCTGTACTTAAAGGGACAGTTCACCCCAAAATCTTAAATATGTATTTTTCCTCTTACCTGTAGTGCTGGTTATTTGCATAGATTATTTTGGTATGAGATTGATGGAGATGTCAGCCGTAGAGTTGTCTACTTTCTCTCAAATATAATGGAACTAGATGGCACTCAGCTTGTGGTGCTCAAAAACACTGAACACTGGTGCTAAAAAACACTCAACAGCAATGTCTCTTTCCAGAAATCATGACCCAAGATAATCCACAGACCTTGTTGTGAGCAGTTTCATGTAGGAGCTATTTTCTCTATATCGAACTACATCAACCGAATGTTTCACCACGCAGAGGGAAGAACAGAATAGAATATATTTTTATTGTCCACCATGGGTGGAACTTTGTCTTCGGCTCACCAAAACACAAAAGACAACATTGTAAAAAGCAGACGAACAGTCAGTACAACAAACATACAAAGTCATTACAAAACACTTAACACATTAAATCATTAAATCATGTCATTGTCTGTCTGTAGTTTAAAATTCATCAGTCACGTTGTTGAGTTAAGAATACTGAGGCACTTGGGATGAAGGATTTCTTAACTACATTTTTGATCGCCAGAGGGACTCTGTAGCGCCTCCCGGAGCTCAAGACCTCAAAGTAGCTGAAGAGAGGGTGGGTGCTATCTGCCAAGGTACTCCTCTTTTTGTGTGCATATGCTCATGGACAAGAGGCTCATGCTTCAGTATGGCTAGGTGAGCTAGCAGTAGATTAACGCTTCCTTCTTCGCAGTGATACAGTTGGTGGGTGTAGCTCGGTAGAAAGAAAATAGTTCCTACATGAAACTGCTCACAACAAGGTCTGTGGATTATCTTGTGTAACCAGGTCATGATTTCTGGAAAGAGACATTGCTGTTGAGTTTTTCAAATGTATTTTTTTGCTGCTTTGAGCACCACAAGCCGAGTGCCATCTAGTTCCACTATAATCGAGAGAAGGCAGACATCTCTACAGCCGATATCTCCAACACTCTGCAACTCACACCAAAACCATCTAGACTGATGAATAGCTCTACAGGTAAGAGAAAAAATATGTATTTTTCATTTTGGGGTGAACTGTCCCTTTAAACTGCTCTAGTTTAATTGGGACAATGTTTTTCATATTCATCTGGCCTTTGAATCCTATTAATTACTACGTATTTAAATTCCAGTTTCCTGATTTTCAGACTATTACCATGAATCATAGACATACAAGGACTTAGTTTTTTTGCATTGCTATCAATGAACTGAACTCAGAAATAGACAAAACAGTTATAAACAAGGACAACAATGCTGAACAAATACAGGTAAAGAATAGAGTGCAAAGTGAAGAACGTCAGGACAAGTGGGGCATTAACTTATGGCAAATATAACGCACTCTCTCATGAAGTCATTTTGATCTGTCTCTGTTCATGTGCTCATCTGTCATCCAAGCTGTCGTTTCATGTCCCCTTCTGCAGGTACCACGTCTACCCCACCTGCAGAAACACCTCAGGCGTTCTAGGCTTCTCTGTCACTGTGGAAACACAAGCCACGAAGTTCAAGTGAGTCTGCAACACAATTGTAACCTTTCATTTGCCCAAAAGCAAGATCCGATTTATCTTAACCACTTTTCCCAAAACCAAGGTACCATTTATCTTACTGTTCACCCAAACCCAAGCTACGATTTATCTATCCGGCCCTGCAAAGAGAGGAGCGAGTGGAACTGATAAATGACTGAAGGAATCAAATACACCCTATAGCCCATAATACATCTCTTACCTCTCACCAACTTTTTCTTCTCTCAGTACCGAGCTGGTGGAGTTAAAGATTGAAGAGTTTTTGGCTTCATTTGGGGAGACGCTCGATTCGCTGACTGAAGAGGCCTTTAATACTCAGGTTTGTGTCTGTGTGTGTGTAATATTTTGTGTATTTGTGAGTTCCCCCTCATTGTTATGCAAGAGCAGGAAAGTTACAGCAAATGATACAAGAAGTTTTAGAAGAGTCAGAAGTTTCTTTTCAAGTTACTCTGGTGGATTATAACACATCTCCTAACCATGTAAAACCCAGCTGCGCAGTCAGGTCTGCTGTCGCTCTTTCAAGTACTCATGGATATCAAAACCGCGTGTGTGTATGTGTGTGTGTTTTGCACAGGTGACTGCGTTAGTGAAGCTGAAGGAGTGTGAGGACACGCACCTCGGGGAGGAGGTGGATAGGAACTGGGCCGAGGTGGTTACACAGCAGTATGTGTTTGACAGGCTCCACAGAGAGGTGAGGACAACACACACACACAAACACACACACACACACACACACACACACACACACACATCGTCAGCCAAATAGATAAATGAATGGTTACATCCTCTTCATGCTTTTGGGGACTATGTATTGACTCTAAAAGGGCGGGTCCATCTGTATTCTTTTCCGTGCTTTTCAAACGGAAACTCCACTCAGCTGTTAGCAAAAGTGGTGACGTATAATACAGCTGATGCCTTCCCCTCCCTCAACCCCCCACACACCGTTCACCAACAGTGAAAACATGGAAAATGAAGATAATGTTAGCTTGGAAGATATGAGCTTTTAGGTAGAACATGGTGCCTTTATTTAACCAGGTGAAAACACACTAAGATTCAGTGATGCTACATTTGTACCTTTAAAACACACTGATAGATTCATAGTCAATATATCACCTACAGTAGATGGATTTCAGCATGATCCACGTTTGGAGAGGCAAATACGAGTACTAGGGCACAGAAGCTTATCAGCATACAGCTAAGGACACCACATTAGTTCTCTTTCAGTTGATTCACTCGGTACAGCACATATACTATCAGACATCACGCCCTTCATGGCCTACCAGAAGACACGTCTGTTCACGCCTTTTAAGGCAGATGACCTGTGGTGACACATATGTACATATACACCCATCACCACAGTCATCCCTCAGTTTGATGGCCGCTTGTCACTGAACCCAGCTGCACAGCAGGGCAATGCAGTGTTGTATCTTGTTCCTCTCCGTCAGGGAACAGAAGTTACTGTCATAACATTTGTTTGTTCTGAAAGTCACACAATAACACGAGGCAGCAGTAGACCAACAACTCCTCGTATTCTGCAAGTTAAAATGACTGTTTCTGTCAAAGGAGTTTGGTGGCTACGGACGGGGGCAGCAGCAAATCATATTTTAGCCTCCAAAAAACAAAGACCACCCCCAAAAAAAAACAGCATCAGTTGAAGTGTCTGCTATATTTAGATTATTTTCACGGCTTTACTTTGCCGTCAGACAGCCTTTTCTGAAAGGGAAGTGATGCTGTTACATTGCCCTCTTCAAAGACACCAGACTCAATTAACAGAAACAGTAATTTTACCTCACAGCACACAGGAGTTGCTTCACTTCCGCTGCCTCGGTTGTTGAGATTGTTTGTGTCAATGTGACTTTCAGGACTGAACTAATGTGGCATCATGGGTTTATATGGGCAGTATGTGAGTTTATATATTTATTTATACGTGGATTCATTAGTCGCAGTGTCATGCAGAGACCTACGTCAGATCACATGGGAAACAGTTTTTAGGACGGCTTTGGAAAAAAACATTTGGACTCTAAATTATACATACTTTGACCAAAATTTGAATACACAAGGAAGACTACTGGGAAGCTACAGAATGATATAAAAACTTTAAAGAATAATAGAGTGACCCTTTAATTAATTCCCTTACCTCCAATCCTGTCCGCAGTCTTTACCACTGATCTTTACCACGTTTAAATTAACAGGAACGTTTACATGTGGGGATATTCTATTACTGTTAAATTATCACTGCATTCTCTGACAACTTAATCCACTATTTGTTGGCCACATGTGTCTTGTTCTTTACAGTTCGTCCCTTTTTCATATCACACACAAAACAACCCTGAACCCTACCACATAGAGTTGTACAAATGCAAACTGCACATGCCACATTTCACACCAAATCTCACTCCTAACACTGCTAGACTGAGTGAAGCGCCATTAATTTTAATTTGCCCACTAGGGGGCAAAAGAGCACACAGGCAACATGAACATAGCATGTTTTTAACATGTACTGTCACTGTGGTGCTGCTAATTCACACACATGCAGCACACAAAGCAGCATCGCCACCCTACGAATGTGAGTCCAATATTTTCTCACCCTTTACCTTTGGAGTGAACTCCACCAGCTCCTGAGGGAAATATGTGACTCTTTATCTGCTAGATGCTCTACTTTCCCCACCAGTGACAAATTGTGTCTGTCTCTGCTGCACAGTGGGTTTATCTGAGCTGCTGCTGCCGCTGCTGCTGCTGCTGCTGCTGCTGCTGCTGCTGCAGATGGGCTTTGACAGAAGTAGTGAGACTGAACATCCACTAAATGAGCTATAAAGCTGTAACAATAATCTAAAAGAGGCTAAACTCACAATGAAGGGAACCTCTCATTCAGCCCTCATCTGTGCTTGTGTGTTTAGATCGAAGCTCTGAAGCAGATGACCCGGGCTGAGCTGGTCTCCTGGTTCAAAGAACACAGAGGACAGAGCAGCCGCAAACTCAGCGTTCATGTAAGCTTCATGTTTGTATGTGTTAGTGCATGTTTGACGGAGAAAGAGTGCACATGTAGCAACACACTAATCATCCCTGTCTCCTGAAGGTGGTGGGATTTGGTGCTGAGGAGAACGACGAGGAGGGTGGCGGGAAGAAAGAAGGAGAAGAGGGCAAAGAGGAGGATCTGTGTGGCTCTACCTACGGAGAGGTGTCTAAGCTTACCTTCCTGCCGCCCTCGCCCAAGATGGCGGGCGTCGTAGCCGTCATGGACATCCCTGCTTTCACCAAAGAGCTGCCTCTCTTCCCCTACCACAAGATCCTCGAATAATCCGCTGCTCAGACTGCGAGATAGACAGATGGCTGTGCTTTGCCTCTCACTGAGCCACGTTCAGGGACTCTGCCTCATTAGGGATGCAGGCACTTAATATGTGGAGGTGAGGGAAGGTTGAAACAGCTTCAGCTCCTCTCTGGACCTGGTTTGTGCCTCCGGGGGCCCAGCTGTAGTTTTTACCCATACTGTGTGCATCGGCAGAAAGCCTGGAAGTGATGATAGAGTTTTTCTTTTAGCTAAGTGATAATCTATTCAGCTTTCTCACACTCAATTATTTTATATCCTCAGACACCGGGAGTGTGGGAGCACTCTATCTTTTCCTCTATCCCACACTGACTGAAAATCTTTTGAATCAAATTTTAATTTATTTGGTTCTCTGAGCTCTGCTGCTATTACAACCCCAAATCCCTGTCTTCTCCACTGTTTGTGTTGGAGTCCAGGCTCAGTTTAATACCGTTTAAAAACACTAATCAACTGTGGAAACTGCAGAAATGCCGAACGCTTTGAACTCCAGATGTGTGTGTTTGGGTGATCGTGTGCTGGATTTCGAGCTCTGCTGTGTACTACTGTTATTAGCTGACCTGGATCATGCTCTGGTATGAAACTGCAAAGAGAATAAATCAATGAGTGAATGAATGAAGCAATGTGCTCACTTCAGAAAACACTTGAATCTATTAAGCAGAAAAAAAGGTACACTCAACCCTGTGAAATGTTGAGACTGTTATTGAATCCAGCGCGTGATAAACAGCAAGGTCTTTTTAAAGTCAGAAGTGTTTGCATGCTGGTGACTCAGTGTGGCGTCAGCTGTTTAATTTACACAGGTTTAATTTATGTGCAAATCGTACATTACTCACAGACTCTCAGCCTCCTCCTCCCAGAGGGAAAGGTTGTTCCGGGCGATATTGTGTCGGGCTTGTGGCTGGTGACACTCTGCACTGTTGAATGTAATTAAAAACTAATCCTGAGCCCAGCACAGCAGAGTGTGTTAACAGAATTGACTAATATGCCCACAGGGAAGCGTCATACTGTAGCAAAGTCTTCACCTGCAGTTGCCTCACGTATTATGATACCTGTGCAACCTGTGTGATGGGTGGCAAACCATTTGTTTGTTATACAATTCCCTCACTTTGTGCACAGTAGAATTGAATCTGGAAAGAAAGGGCAAAAATGGAAGCTCACTGTTGTCTAAAACAGGGCAGGGGTAGGTAACCTGATGCTCCGGAGCCACATGTGGCTCTTTAGCACCTCTCCAGTGGCTCCTTGCCAAAAAAAAATTACATGGAAATGAATAATGGTTATGTTTTTTAACATTTTATTTTTTATATATCAGTGTTGTAGGCCTAAAGAAACTCCTGCATTCTCCAGTTGTAAAACTTTGAAGCCTCCAAACCAAATGAAAATAACTAACACATCTACTGCCTGGAACCTTTGCCTTGAAATTTTGCCAAACCTCCACAGCAGAGGCTCGTCTTGAGTCCTCCTAGCTGGTTAGCTATGGATGCCAAATCCACAAAAGTAAAGGTGTCAGAATAAAACAGAGAATTAAGTAGTGTTTGGACAGATTTGTTTGCTTTCACCACCAGCTCTGCAAAGATAAAATACCAAATAATCATAAATAATGCCCTGTAGAGTCGCTACCTTGTGGTAACGCATGAACGATCATTTAGACAATTAGTATAGGCTAATTTAGTCTTCATAGGCTGTTTTACCCTCATTAAAAGCCTCAAATATGTTTTGTAGCTCCACACAGATTTCTTACAATTATTTTTGGTCAACAAATGGCTCTTATGATAGTAAAGGTTGCTGACCCCTGGCCTAAAATATCACTGTAACCAGCAGCAGCAATAATATTTCCCTTAAGGCGAGACACTACAGGTGAAACATTTTGATATTTTTGGCAATTTTGCCTCCATAACATCATCATTCTTTTAGACTAGTGTAAAGAAACATCCAAAATATACATTTAGGTGTTTGATGTAGATCAGATTTCTGTTCTAGAAATGTACAAAAAAAGTGCAAATTTAATTGACAGTGTTCCACTTGCATATTTTAACATAGAATTTCAGAAAACTTGTAACAAAAAAAAATTGTCCAGTGTAAGTAATCAACTGGTGACGTTTCATGGTGATATCTATTAGTTAAAGTTTTACCCTATTCATCTGTAGGGTCTTATTTTTTGCTTGAGAATGTATGAAATTTTACAATATATATCTTTAAAGGCCATTTTCTCAAAATGAGTTTTTTCCTATACTCTGAGCCAGAAATCTCTACATCAGAAGCACCCACACACACCAAACGTTCCAGTTTTAGTGCTGTCTTTACTCTGAAGGTTTTTACAGAGGGGTTTATTTATATTTACTCCATGGTCTGGGTGAATATTTGATCCTGATTGGCTGCAGGGTGTCCGTTAACAGCTGATAATGTACACCTACTACGTAGTTCATGTGAAACCGAGTGTTCACCGTTTTAATTTAACTTGCTGGCTACATAATAATCCTTGATGGCATCTGGAAGTCTCCCCGCATATTTAATAAGCTAATGCATTATTTGCAAATAAATACATAACTTTTCAAAAAACTTTAAATACAAAAAAATACTTTCTAATGTAAGTAAGCAACTGAGGAAGTTTCATGGTGATATTTATGTTATTCATCTTCACCAGGGGTGTCTCACCTTAAACCTGCAGTTACACATTCTGGCCATGTGGGGGCAGCAGAAACAAGCTGTGCACCTGACATCCATTATATCACCCTGATAACACCTATTAAGCTAATAATGTGAAGTAACCAGTCCAGAAGACACAAAGCAACATTAGCATTCATTTTAAGTCTTGTTTCTGGCATCCTCGCAAATGTAAGTCCAATATTCACTTATCTTTTAGCTCTGTTTTTAGTCTCTACTACCAACTACTGAGAATATCTGGCGTTTTAGCTAACGCTAATCCAAATGCTAAACCGTGTTTGCTAATGTTAACGAACGTTAGTTGCTAACTTCCGGTTGGTTCTGAGCTAGTATCGTTAGCTAGCATATAATCAGTTTTTGATGACTTTTCTTGGAAAACTTGAGAGTGAACCAACAGTAAACGGCAAGTAACGATAACGGGGCCGTGTCAAAGTTCACTGTCTCCCTGCCGTTAAAATAATGTATCCCGTCGTGGTTGGGGTGAGGGCGTACTTCACTACCCTCCCGTTATCTTTCCGGGAGACTGAAGTTTACAATGCCCTCCCCCCATTTTTTCCGGGGTCACAGTGGACAGCAACCTTTACTATCAAAACTAAAAATAATGGTAAAAACAAAAAAACTGTGTGGGGCCATAAAACATACTTGAGGCTTTTAATGAAGGTAACACAGCCTATTAATACTAAATTAGCCTAAGGTATACTAATAGTCTAAATGAGCATTCATTCATGTTTCACCACATGTGGCTACTCCGCAGGGCACTAACGTTATTTGGTACTTTATCTTTGCAGAGCTGTGAAAGCAAACAAATCTGTCCATGCTCTACTAAATTCTCTATTTTATTCTGACACTTTTACTAATTTGCATTTGGCATCAAAAGCTAACCAGCTAGGAAGATAGTTTAGTTGTTGAAATGTCAAAACATGTTTTTATTGGGTATAGAGGCTTCACATTTTTACAATTGGAGAATGTGAGAATTTAGGCCTTTAGGCCTGCAACGCTGATACATAAATATTAAAATGTAAAAAACAAAAAAAAAAACTATTCATTTCCATGTAATTTTATTTTTTGTCTAAGCCACAGGGAGCCACAATGCTTCCATATTTCACCCAGTTTACTGCAAATTTTAATATATTTTTTTCCCTTTTCGTTGTCACACCTTGTTTCTGACACTGTACACTATATGTAAAATGATCCCCACGACTCTAAAAGTCTAACGATACTATTCCCTCCCCATTGGTGCTACCTCATATCTCCTTCATTCCCTGATTCGCCAGGGATGGCGAGGAGTGTCCCTAGGCCCCACATGAATCGGGCGCCTCTGCCGGTGGACACCTTGGCCCAGTTCCAATCCGATCACTTACAGACTCACTGACTTAGAGGCGCGTTCATGTTAAGTGCATGAGTGTGTGAGGGCTGTCCCATTGTCAAATCGTCAAGTAAGTGAGTCAGTGAGTGAGCCCTTTATGCCCCCTTACCGTAGGTCAGCATCAATGCGGACTTACCCACAGTTCATAGCGTTGTGACGTCAAATACAGGGGTTGCCCTCGGAACACCGGAAGTGTTATAAAAAAAAAACGATCGATCGATCTATCGATCTATCTAT